GCCCCGCCGGCGTGTGAGCTAAATTAGCCTCCCCACCTTGCGGCAGGGAGGAGTGTGCCTAAAAATAACAACTAATTTGCCTGTGCTTTAGGTGCGCTAGAGTGGGTACCTAGCTGTCGCCTATTGCAACAAGCATACAGTTAATAAATGAAACAATGCCGCCTCTGAGGCGAGAAGTGTGTGTAGGATTCTACTTACAAAACAGGAACCTGCCTACGAGCACAACACTACACTAACACTAAACTACTGCACTATTTGCACAAGATTTAAATTGCAACCGAGGTTGCGAGTGGCGTCTAATTCGGGTGGCATGTGCCCTCCGTCTTAGAGAGACGTCCGTTCCGTACGAGAGCACGAAGCGGAATGAATACCTAGGTTTAGTATTCAGTGTTTCTGTTATAACGATTATTAGCCTTAATAAGTGTTGTGATTTTCCAGTGTTTAAAGTTGTGTAGATAAATGGTTGCTTTCATGTTTTGTGAAACTAAATAAAATTGTTCAATTGTTGTGCTATTACTAATTTAAATTAATTATGAATTCCGATGAAATTAATTCCCCCGCTTTTATACATATGTAATAAAATAGGTGATATCCACAAACAATTAAGTGTAAATAATTTCAAACACTTTGTAAAAGCTACCTTAATGGTAAGGGCCTATTATAATGTCGAGGAAAACATTGAGGACAAGGATGTGTGGAAATGACTCTTCCCTGCACTCGCAAATCCCCTGGTTTCTGCTAATTTAATACTTAAATATTTTTGGGTATGCACTTACTTAATTCAAAAAACGAGAAAAAAAGATAAGACAGAGTTTATTGTCAGTTGTTCTCTAGACAGGTCTGGTCAGTGAATAGGTGGTAGTTTTAACATTCAATAAGAGTTTAAAACAAGTGTACATTTGACTTTGACTTTGAATACATTCATCTTTATGTTGTTCGGCAGAGCCTCGCCGAGTGGCGAAAGGGCCGTTGGGCCGTGGAATGAAACCGACCCCAATATCAGTCGTACATCATTTAATACTAATGAGAGAACTTATAGGCAACATCACAGGATAGGCCCCTAGAGCGCCATCTTGCGGCCCTCGATGGAGATCTCGACGGCCCTCCGCGAGCCGCTCTTCATCCGCTTCTGGTCCATGAACTTCTTCATCTGCTTCTCATAGCGCGTCATCTTCTTCTTGCTCATCTGCGCGGTGGTGGTGGTGGTGAGAGTGAGTGAGTGAGTGGGCGGCGGTGGGCAGAGTGGGAGTGGGAGTGGGAGTGGGGGTGGGGGTGGGGGTGGGGCTCACCCTGGACATGTCGGCGTCGCAGGTGGACTTGGGCCGCACCACGTAGTCCTTGTTGGAGGGCAGCGGCACCCTGGCGCGCCCCACCCAGCCCGGCTCACCCGGCCGCGCCGCCCTGGCCGGCATTCGCTCATTTGAAACTTCTATGCATTTTAATGTTCAAGTAGCGACGGCAAATATATTGCGAGAGTATAACGAGATTGGATTTTAGAAACAAACAAGACGTATCAAGGATGAGCAGAAAAAAGAATATAATGATATTAGAATGGAAAAAATTTATAGAGAAAATGAAGCATAATTGAGGAGTGTTGGAACAAAACCGATAAAATCAATTTATAAACGACTAAATTGTTTTTCGTCTCGTAACATAAAAATCTGACCATAAACCGATAAATCAATTGAATTGTTTCATGATTGCATCGAATTGGAATATACATCCAAAAATCTTTAGAAATTTTCAAGGGTCATGCATTTGGTCGGTTGGTTTAAAATCAAATCTTAAACCAACAAATTCATATCCAAAGATTAATATGACACATGGGAAAATTTTATATATTTAATGTCCAAAATTCAGAAAACTTTGATAAAAAAGTAGAAGGATTGCGAGATTCGAAACGAATACATTGAAAAAAATATGATATTACATACGGCACATACCTGTCAGTCTGTAATAAATTGAACGTGTAACCGAGACCCCTATAAATCCGTCACCTGTCTGCGTCCGCGTGCGCGTGCGCCGCGTGGGCGGGGTGCGCCGCGTGGCCGTCGCGCCTCGCGGGGCCCGAGCCGGAGGGGCCGGAGGGGCCCGCGGCGGAGGGGCCCGAGGCGGAGGGGCCCGAGGCGGAGGGGCCCTCCTCCTCCCGGCGGCGCGCGCCCGCCATCGCCTCGTCGCGCGCCTGCCGCTCCTCGCGGCTCATCGCTGCCGAACGAGCGGGCTCGCTACAGCGCCTCATCGTTCGATAACCACTGTATCGTACGATAGCTTCCTAACTTTCACAACTTGTGTATTAAAGGAACGCTACTAACGGCTCGTAAGGAAAACGCCTCGTTTTGTTAATGTAGGAACCGGCCGTACGCGCCTATTATCTACAGGTCGTTATGAAACATACGAACATATAATAACTAAAGGCCGATCGTTGAATATAGGAACCGGGCATAAATCGTTTTAAACCTTTTCTACTATTTTCTTCTAAAAACGTATACGTTAAAATTTTAGTAAAAAAAAGGAACGAAAAATTTCTCGCCGCTAAGGGAATCGAGCCCATATCTTCGGGATTTGCACCCGAACGCTCTAGCCACTAAGCTGAACAGCTGATTGCCACACTACCAAAATTCAATGCAATGCTTAGCGCATCCACTGTCATATCCTCTCCAGCAATTCCCCGCGGAATGGACCCGACAGTACCTAGTGTTTATATCGAGTACCCTTGAAGTCCGTGGAGAGGTTGAAGATGGGCCGCGCCCACTCGGAGATGAGCCGGCCCGCCCTCTCGCGGTTCGCCTTGGTCTCCTTGGGGTGCTTGTAGAGGTACATCACCGCCTTGCCGATGCCCGACTGCTTCAGCAGCGACTTGTCGATCGAGGGGAACTGCGGACACATTTGTTCTGACCGCTTTGACTATCACCGAACATTTTAAAACTTTACAATATTTTTAACTTTTGAAAAACTCTAAATTGGAGAAATTATCTCAAACAATAAAAAACGTGAAAATTTCAATAACCTGTAAAATTTTTAAAAAATACAACAAATTTTGTGATATCTTTAAAATTTTATACTTAAGAAACAAAAAAAGAGATACATTGATATTTTTTCGAATATCGATAACTTATAATACAATCTCTATTAGATCTACACATTAATATGTATTGTGTATAAACTTCACTTAGTATTTTCACACAATACATATTCAATATTTTCCCTTAGTAGGTCCCCAGGTCCGTGGAATTCTTGAAGTAGGTACTAATAGAAGTAATAGTAATAACCTATAAGAGTGCAATACTGAATATATCCTATTCTCGGCCTCCTTTAAACAAAATTCTTGCATAATCAAGTTCGTAATCTATTGCTGAATTAAATAATATATTATTTAATCGTAGACGTAGCAATTTAATTTGAAATAAAATTATGTCATTGTTCTTTAAGGTGATAAATCATTCATCAAATTAGATAGTTTAGTTAATAACCTGCCATTTAATAAGGTGATCCCGTTTAAGTCTCTTGACCACCACAGTCGAGTCCAGCAAATCAGATAAGACCGACAACTTGTAAACTACAGATGTAAATATATTATACAGTACCGGTCCAAGAACCGATCCTTAGGATACACCAGCCTTTATATGATGAAGGCTGGATCGCGTTTCTCCTTTTCTGATTTGGAAGGATGGATCAGAGGTAAGATGCCACAAGCGTGAACATGGAATGTGGGAGACTCAGAGAAGATATTTTGAATTTGAATATGAATACGGGCGTTAGGCTTATTGGTCGATGTGATGATGGTTCATGTTCTGGTTTTCCTTGTTTATTAATCTTCACTACTTGGGAATTGCAATTTCCATAGGGTTGGGAAATAAATAAAAAAATATGTAATAAATTGTTACCACATAAGGTTATTGCAGTCCAGTAGTATTAATATATATCTATCCCTTGACTATGGGTACTACGCCTATCTCTATATTTATATTATCTCTCAAAGGCCTTTTATTTGTTAGAACTTTAATGATTCTCGCTATTTTAAAGCAGATATTTGCTGCTATGGAGGCAAAAAAGAATGCTATCCGATGACAATATGTTCCAATGAAAGACAGTGGGCCACTCACGTCCATGAGCAGCTTGAGGATGCTCTCGCGGATGAGCAGGCAGGGCAGGGCGCGGTTGGGCATGGGCGCCAGCCAGTCGCAGAGCACGTTGAGCACGTTGTGCTCGAGGAAGGCCAGCTGCAGGTCGCGCTTGATGAGCTGCGACATGGCGCCCTTGAGCATGGACACCTTGCGCACGGCGGGCTGGTTGCGGCGGTTGAGCTCGCGGTCCTGCTCCGCCGCCTGGCGCATCTGCTGCAGCAGCTGCGCGATCAGGTCGTCGTTGTCGTTGATGATGTCGATGTCGCGCCGCCGCCGCCGGCCGCGCCGCTCCTCGCGCTTGCGCGCCAGCATCAGCTCGAAGTCCGACATGCCGCCCGTCGCCTCCAGGCTGCGCCAACGCCCACGCCACCGTCACTACGCGCCCTCGCCACCTCAACCCAATCGCCCACCGCCCACCGCCCACTTCCCGGAGCCCACCTCTTCGAGTCCGGCGCGACGTCGTCGTCGGACGAGTCGCGCTCCCGCTCCGCCGGCGCCGCCTGCTCGGGCTGCCTCGCCCCCTCCGCCCCCTGCGCCCCCTCCGCCCCCTCGCCGCCCTCGCCCCCCGCCTGCGCCACCCCTCCCGCCGGACGCACCCCGGCCGCCTCGCCCTCGTCGTCCGACTCCAGCCGCACGGTGCGCCGCTTCTTGTCGACTGCAAGTGCCAGACTGCAATGTATGGTGACCTTTTAGACAACACTCGATCCGAATTTGAATCGAAACCAACCCCTGTGCGACGGTGAGCCCGATCCGGAACGCGAACGCGATCTGAGGATGAAACATGTTCATGATTTAATCATTATTCTAAAATGTATACACAAAGTATAAGTAATCAAAGGAAACAAATAAATTATCGATCAAACAGATGTCAACATTCACCGACCAAAGGTGTGCATCCCTGTGCCCTTGCGAATTTACACTCTTAACTTTATTTAGTCGTACTTTTTCAATGCTAACGCGAGAGTTTAAAGAATTAGTACTTATAATAATATAGCCGTATTCACCTGGAACGTGACTTGGCCGATCCAGAGCGTGACCTCGATCGTGATTTGGACCGCGAGCGGACTCGCGACCTTGTCGGAGAGCGTGACCCGGACTTTGAGCGGGACTTGGAACGGGACTTTGAGCGCGAGCGCACTCGCGACCTTGACGGAGAGCGTGACCCGGACTTTGAGCGGGACTTGGAACGGGACTTTGAGTGCGAGCGCACTCGCGACCTTGACGGAGAGCGTGACCCGGACTTTGAGCGGGACTTGGAACGGGACTTTGAGCGCGAGCGGACTCGCGACCTTGACGGAGAGCGTGACCCGGACTTTGAGCGGGACTTGGAACGGGACTTTGAGCGCGAGCGGACTCGCGACCTTGACGGAGAGCGTGACCCGGACTTTGAGCGGGACTTGGAACGGGACTTTGAGCGTGAGCGAACTCGCGACCTTGACGGAGAGCGTGACCCGGACTTTGAGCGGGACTTGGAACGGGACTTTGAGCGCGAGCGGACTCGCGACCTTGTCGGAGAGCGTGACCCGGACTTTGAGCGGGACTTGGAACGGGACTTTGAGCGCGAGCGGACTCGCGACCTTGACGGAGAGCGTGACCCGGACTTTGAGCGGGACTTGGAACGGGACTTTGAGCGCGAGCGGACTCGCGACCTTGACGGAGAGCGTGACCCGGACTTTGAGCGGGACCTGGAACGGGACTTGGAACGGGATTTCGAGTGAGACCTGGAGCGGGATCTGGAGCGTGATTTGGAGCGAGATTTAGAGCGAGATTTGGAGCGCGATTTGGAGCGAGACGCTGAGCGCCGTTTGCCGCGGGACTTGGAGGCGGGCGGCGAGCCGGATCCAGATCGCGAACGTTTCCTTTTGCGACCTGAAACGTGAAATTCTGCACTGTTAATTGATGATGTACGAAGCTGGCGCGAGGCCTGCTTTAAACGAGTCTCGGGGGCCCTGTCCCCATTACTCGGGCATGTATCTCGACCAGCGAATAGCTGGTCGGTGGTGAGATGGCCATCGGCCATCCCTATCCCTGACCGCGGTAGCGGCACTTGCGGGTGTACGGCGTTTCACGCGGTGTGTAACGCGAGGACGACATCGTCTTCGACACAGCGGCGGAAGTGCGGTCGGGTCCGGCCCCCCAATGGCCTGTTCCGACCGCAGTAGCTCTCGTGCGAGCGGACGACCGTCAGGAGGACGGGCGTGGAGTGGAGCAATATTCTCCAGGTGTGGGTGTGGTCCGTTGTCAGCCCTGTCGTACAAGCGATGGGCCAACCGGACCACAAACTCCTCGATGGACACGATATTCAGGTCTCTGGCGATTACGTCGTTACTAACGTAACGCCCGGCTCCCACGATTGCTCGAAGGGCGAGGTTTGCTGCTGCGCGTGGAGCCTGCGCCTCTGCGAGGCGGAAACCAGTGCATACCACGCTGGAGCGGCGTAGGTCAAGCGCGAACGGATGTAGGTTTTATAGACGCCCAGTTTCGTCTTAACAGGTAGCTTGGATGCCAGGATTGGGTAAAGGACCGCTCGAGCTGCCCTGGCTTGTCGAACAGAGTGTTCGACTTGGGGCGCCATACTCAGCGAGCGGTCTATCCGGCACCCAAGATACCTGATGGTGTCCTGGTTCGTTATCGCTTGACCTCGCAGCTCAAGCGTGGGTTGGTGTTTGATGTGGCGGATGTAGATGGCGGACGTTTTGTCAACATTGACAGACATCCGCCACTTATCCAACCACTCGGGCAGCAGGTCCAATTGGCGCTGCATCTTCCTCGCCGCAAACGCCGCGTTGTGTGAAGACGTGAAGAACGCACTGTCGTCCGCGTACAGGGCCAACAGTACGTCTTCATCCCAGTCGGAGGCGTTTTGCTCCAAGGTGGGAATGTCGTCCGTGTACACCGCATACAGGTGTGGCGACAGACAACTACCTTGTGGTACACCAGCTTTGATACATCGTACCGCCGAGTCGGCTCCCTCGACGTGTACGACGAACTTCCGGTCCCGGAGAAACGACGCTACTAACCGCACGAGCGCACGGTGGGTGGTGGTATTTTCCAGCAGCTTATGTAGCAGGCCTTCGTGCCACACTCTGTCGAAGGCCTTCTCCATGTCGAGAAGGACCCCCAGACAGATGCGGCCCCGGTTGTACTGGGCCGCAAGATAGTGCAGCACTCGGGCCAGCTGCGCCGTGGTGGAATGGCCACTGCGGAAACCGAACTGTTCCCTGCGTAGCTCGATGCAGGGAACTATTCTCCGCAGCAGCAACCGTTCAAAAAGTTTGGCTACGTGCGGCAGTTGCGTAATCGGTCGGTAGCTCCCCGGAAGTCGTCGGTCCTTGCCCGTGTTTCGGCAGGACGATGATCTTACCGGTTTTCCACTCAGAGGGGAAGTGCGCCGTGCGCAGTACACCATTGTACAGGCGGCACAGCGCCACTAACCCTCTTTTCGGTAGTTGCCTTATCGCCAACGTCGTGATTCCGTCGGTGCCGGGTGCCTTGCGGAGCGCGAGATGACTCGCGGCTCTACGCACTTCGGCCGGAGTGATGAAAAGTCCACCATCCAGCCGTGGCACCGGCTCCGACAGGAACACCTGTATGTGCCGCTCCACTTCTTGGTGGAACGCAATGGCACCTGGGGCCGATGTCTTGGCCACAAATTGCCCTTCTAGGTGCTCTGCCAATATGTCAGCCCTGTCTTGGGCTGCAGCGTGCTTACGCCCATCGCTACCCACGAGTGGACAGATGGGCTGTGATGTGCGGCTGAGCTGTCGGTTAAGGTGGTGAAGGGAGGTTTGCGACTCGGAGGCCTGCTCAATGCGGCGCTCCCACTCCTCACCCCTGTACGCCTTGATGGCTGCCGACAGCTCGTCCTTGAGCCGATTGAGTTTTGTCTTTACTCGTGGGCAGCGGGTGCGGGCCCACAGCTTCCTAAGCTCCCTCTTCTCGTGCAACCGATGGAGGAGCCTACGCGGGAGCGTGTCTTTTCGGTGCACCTGCGGCACCGCTTTGGTCACCGCGCGCAATTCTTCCTGTATTTTACAGGTGATTGTGCGCGCGGCCTGCTCCACGTCTTCCGCGGTTGATATGGGTGCACCGAAGCTAAATGTGGACATTGCCCTCGAATAGGCTCCCCAATCGGTCCTATATTTAGGGCCCCTGGGAGCCAGTGAGTCCGCAGCCAGACTCAGCACGATGAGCACAGGGAGGTGCTGCGTGTCCGCATCGTACAGCACCTCTACCTGGACAGGGCATGGCACTTTGTGGCAGAGCACGATGTCCAGGACATCCGGAACGTGATCTTCGATGGTGGGTATGTGTGTGGGCTCATCAGGGCCCAGCACTTCATAACCCACCTCCTCGGCATGTTCGTATAGACTCCTGCCTGCGGGGTTCTCAATTCTCGATCCCCACGATGGATGTTTGGCATTGAGATCCCCCGCTATAATGGCAGGAGTGTTATCAGAAAAGATATTCCGGATGTCACTGGCGTTGAAGGGCAAGCCGGGCGGGCGATACACAGCGAACATACGTATCTCTTTCCCGCCCACGTGGAGGCATACTCCTATGGAGCGCGTGCTTATAAAGCTGCGCAGCTCCTCTTCGTCGTGTACTAGGTCCCGTCTTACCAACACGGCCGTACCTCTATAGGCATAGCCGTGGTCTGGGGAGATCTCATCCCTACGGTATACGACGAAGTTCGATAGGCGGAACGGCTGACCCGGACGGAGCTTGGTTTCCCCGAGCAACACAACTTGGATGTTGTGCTGCTGAACCAGCATCCTTAGCTCCGGGAGCCGTTGCTGTATGCCTCCAGGGTTCCAGTACATGGCCCTAATTTGTGGCGCCATTGCGTACCGCGGTCAGGGATTTAATGGCGTTGGTCAGCGCCGTTAAGGTGTCGTTACCCGTCGCAATGGAGACAAGGACATCCCCCAAGATGCCCGTCACCAGCCGGATTAGTTGATTAATTGCCTCCTCTATTCACTGCGCGACGTACGTGGAGTCGCGGGAATGGGAGGCAATGACGTGGTGGGTGGGTGGTCCCCTTACCCCTTGGCCTTGTTGGGCCGGTTGTTGGTGTGGGCGCGGTGCGACTATTGCCGCTGTGGCAACATTTTCCCGCTGTTTTTGCTGCTGTCTCTTTTTTAGTGCAGCGGTGGTGGTGGTTTGGAAAGCGACGGGGGGCTGCGGGGTCACCACAGCTTGGCCCGCTGTATGCGGTTGGGGGGTGCTCTTCTTCTTCCTCTTCCCCCTCTTCTTCTTCTTTTTAGCCACTTCACCACGTATTGTGGCATCATTGGCCGGTGGCATGAGGGTGGCATGAGCGCCTGCTGCTGACTGTGTCGTGCTCACAGTTGCAGGGGTTTTCGCCGAGGTTCCCCTGAGTTTGAGGGGGAAGAGGCATTGTGCTCCTTTCGGGAGGGTGTTGCACTTGTCTGGGTGGTGGTGGTGGTGGTGGTGGTGGTGGTAGTGGCGGTGACAATTTGATGCCACGGCTCTTGGCCACCCGTTGGAGCACCGCACAACGCCTGTCATTGGCCGCGTGCGCTTTTGCGCAGTTGGCACACTTCGGTGTTTCGCCCTTGCGTGGGCATTCAGCCGAAATGTGCTCGCCAGCGCAGCGCACGCAGCGCAGGGGTCGGTGGCAGTTGGCAGACGGGTGACCGAACCCCTGACAGCGGTGGCATTGTGCGGGGCCACCCTTTCCATGCCAGGCCTCTATAGTAATGCCTGACATATTTAGCACCTCTGTGACGTCATAGAGGCGCTTTAATTCATTTTTATCGAGGTGGTCGAGTTTGAGATGATAAAGTGTTCCCGGCCTCGACCTCTTGGGTGGAATCGCTCTCGAGTAAGTAGCCGGGAACCCAATTCCCTTGAAATACTCGACCACCTCATCTGGCGAAGTGTCCCTGGGGAGCCCTCTAATCCCTACTTTTGTGGGTACTTCCTCCGGTGGAGCGTAGCAAAACCACACAATGGTGGGGTCTTTTTGGCTACACTCGACAAGGTAGCGCTGAATTACACGGTATTCTGCGGCGTTTTCTGGGGTAAAGCGCACTCCCTTGCCGAGCGGCCTGGCGTTGGGTGCATGTCCTAACTGTCCTTTGAGGACAGAGAAGTGTTTCGTCCATTGTGGTAAACATTCCACCACAATGGGCGGGTATTTACGCCCCTTCTCCTCGGCAGGTTGAGGTGGCGCTTGGTTGGTCCCCTGTGTAGTTGGGGACCGTCGGCGTGGAGATGGTGGAGCCGAAGCCGCGTTGGCGTACGTCGGTGGTGCTGATGTAGCATTTGAGGGGCCAGGTTGGGGCTCCTCAGAGTCCATCTCGACCTCGTTTAATGCGGTTTGTTGATCCGCTGTTGATGGTCCAAGTGTAGGCTCTATGACGTCGATGATGTGTGTTGGGACATCCTGCCTCTTGTCCCTGTCTAAAACTGAGTCGTCCAGTTTGGGACGTTTATCATCCTGAGTTGGCGACTCAGGGGATGTGGGTGGACGAGGAGTCTTCGTCCGTTGCGGTAGTGGCGCTGTAGCCACTTGTTCCCCGCTTACGGGTGTGGTTTGGACGGGCTCAGCGGCCTTGGTAGGCACGTTACCCTTAGGCTGGGGTGGTTGGGTCTGCTTCGGCAAGATCCTGGTTACCTCATTGGTGAAAATGTTCCTTTCAACAAGGATTTTTACCTGAGGTTTGGCGCGTCTGGATTTGGTGGTGGTCGCAGCTTTTTTGCCGCGAACCATTGTGGCGTGTTATCAACAGTGCACATCTAAAAATTAGAGCACACCGCAGAATTGGTGCACGCACTCTTTTTGCGCACGTCTGTTGAGGCTGCTCCCTTGTACCGCAACCCACCGGGGGACGCCCGGAGGGAAATCCTCCGATGAGGCAAGCTGTTTCGGATATAGCCACAACAGACAGCGGATGGAGTGACTTGGCTGTTTTAGGCTACTGAGTTAGCCCTACCTCACCACTGGACCCTTTTTAATTAAAAAGGGCGACCAAGTAGCGAGCAGCTACGCGGTTGAACTTGGTTGAGCGCTGAAACGACAGAAAGCCAAGAACGAACAGCGAAAGAGGAACGAAGTGTCCTAGGCGACTCGACGCGGAACGGAGCAATGCTCGACGCTCGGCGGAGTTCGCTTCGGAAGGCTTAGGCTGTGCACAACCCTACTGCAGATGCAATGAAGGCGTACAACAACGTTTACCACTCACTTGGTCCTCAGCACTGTTAATTATATTCAATTTTCGAACGTATTGTAAGTAGAGTTACGGCACAGAACTATGTGAATAATATAGTTCATACAGTTTTGAAATCTGACCTCGTAAGGTATTACACAAAGAGTAAAGTAAAGGTAAGCAAGGTCGCTTAGCAACTCACTACTGACCTCGCTGATCTTCCTCATCCTGGTCCATCATCTCGGGGGACTTGCTGTGGGCACGGACATCGAAGGGAGACTTGCTCCTTGACCTCGACTTGGACTTGTTCGGCGGAGCGCTTCTCGATCGGCTGCGCGACTTCGAGCCGGACTTGGCGCGGGAGCCGCTGCGTGAACGGGACTTTGCCGGGGACCCACTGCGGGAGCGAGACTTTGCCGAGGACCCACTGCGAGAACGGGACTTTGCCGGGGACCCACTCCGAGAGCGTGATTTTGCCGGGGACCCGCTCCGAGAGCGCGATTTTGCTGGGGAACCACTGCGAGAGCGGGACTTTGCTGGAGACCCACTCCTGGAGCGAGACTTTGCCGGTGATCCGCTCCTCGACCGTGACCTGCTGTGCGAACCGGAGCCGCTCCTGGACCTCGACCTAGCCGGTGATCCGCTCGCGGAGCGCGATCTGGCGCGGGAGCCGCTGCGAGACCTGTTCCTCGCTGCGGAGTTCTTCGAGCTCCGCGAGCCAGAGCGCGAGGAGGCGCGCGACCCGCTCCCGGAGCGCGAACTGGACCTGGATCTGGAGCGCGCGGAACCGTCGTGGGACATCTTCGACTCTGAACCTACCTGAACATTTGAGTAACATAAGCCAATATTAACACCCACCCCACTCATCATAGACACTCAAAATAGCATGGACTCCTATGAATTCCTGTAAATGTTTTGTACCAACATATATGCCACAATATTGGGTTGAGCTCTTGTTTTTTATGCGAAATGGTGGCAAACAAGCTGGCAGTTCAGCTGATGGTTAATGATAAATGCCGCCCATTGATACTAGCAACACCGGAAGGGTTGCAGATGCGTTGCCATCTTTTAGTTAACTCGGCCCTGGCTACCTAACTCACCAGACCAAACACAGAAGTGTATCACTTCTACTTTACGCTGGTCTTCTGTCAGGTCCTGGTTCTTATCCAGATGCACCTGCCCATTTGTGCAACAGCAAAAACTATTGCACGGCCTTAACTATCACATTTAAATGTTTAAAAGCTGTGATGGACTCCAAAATTGTTATGCAGAAAATTATTACAACATTTTTTTAATGCAAGCATCAATTAAAATCGTTTTTTTCAAACATTATTCTTATCATGATAGCAGTTTTCCTCAAATAGATTTTTGGTAGATGAACCTTTCTCAGATAAGTTGCAAATCTTTCAATAATAAAATTAATAGCTTTATTGTCACGACTGAAAACTAAATTCATTTCCCAAATAATTATATGTAGTTAGCAATAATATAATATAATACTACAACATTAAAATTAAACTAAAAAAATAATCAACTTTATTTGAATTTTTTTTACAGCAATGTCAAAAATTCTGCCATTTATCTTTCGTTACCTTTAACACAACATGTTTAACATTATGATGAGGCAGTATTATGTGATTAGGTTAAGAGCGATACAAGACACAGTTGTTACTATTTTCAAATATTAGCACCCCTTCTTTTATTGACATTAAGGTTAAATGTTTCATGCAATGCAAATAACATTTAATATAATTTTTTTATTATTTATTTTGTTTTAAAAATTACAAAAATACCTGAACAAATTAAAAATAGAAGGCATTGTAACATCCTGTAGCTGAGTGGATAAATTTTAGAACTAGCTGCTGTCCGCGACATGTAACATTCAGACAGAAAGACAGATATACATAAATAAAAATATGTATATAAATTATAGCATATGTGTTATTCTGATGTATAAGCTATATTATTGTAAAATTTCATTAAAATCAATTCAGTAGTATTTGCATGAAAGAGTAACAAACATCCATCCATACATACAAACTTTCGCCTTTATAATATTAGTAAGGAAGTAAGGATTTAAGAATACTTACTGATCGACTGCGGGATCGTGAATTCCTCCCATCTGTTAAAATTTAAATTATATTTAAAAATAATAAATTAAAAGCCATGTCAAATACAGAATAAAACATAAAAATATGAATTATTTTTAAAACATTAGGTCAATAATGTTGTATTTTTAATGTCGAAAACTGCTTTTTAAATAATTAAGTAAAAAGAACCCTCTTCAATGACTATTGGAGCCAGGGGGGAACACTTTCCTTTGTCTATGCTTATGCCTAATTTACATTTACTATGAGCAGTCAGTTAAATTAAAACTTAAATTTAATAAATTTTGTCTATTTTTTCATTTACTAGACGTTTTCTTCATTATCATATAGCACTGTAGATAATTATAACCAATTTGACACACCACACTATTGTTGCAAATTAAAACAGGTTGACTAATGTTTATTGATGTTTAATAATATTGAATTTTTATCATTTAAGCAATATATTAAAGAATTTTTTTTTAATCCATCTTAGTTTCATATTTAATGTAACTTGATATTCCTTAATTGCTCTTTGTCCTTCATTAATTTTATAAATTAAAACACTACTGGGCAAAGGCGTCCTCTGTACTGGGTATTAGGGATTGTTCACCACCGGCCCAACTGTGGATTGGTGTACTTCACATAATAGTTTCTAAACATATTATTTTAGAAATTTAAATTTTTATAGTGCTAATCTCTGCACTTTTTCTACAAATGTCATTATTTCAAAAATATGTAAGTTTATGCACAATGTTTTCCTTCACTGCTCACATGTGCAATAATTCAGCACTTAAAATTAACAATTTTATTGGTGCAGGCACCAGGGATCAAACTCGAATGCTCGCTGCATATTGATCATTTATTTTATTATTTACCCCAAATCTGGCCTTCCCCTACAATAGGAACCACTTGACATGTTTGCACATCACAAAGGTTACTCCTAATGTCAATATATGATAAATAATGGTTTGAATAAATTGTTACTTAACTAAAACATGAGACTTAAAATGACCACAAAAAGTTTTGTTTTTGTATTATTATATAATTGTTTGCTCTTACTGCATTTGTATATTTATTTGAAAATGGTTTATGCATAAAGAATTATAAATGATTCTCTAGTAAAAAAGTATGTGTTAAAGATATTTTGATCAATGATTCAATATTGAAATCATATCCAAAACGATATTTTCAATTTGAATCTGGGACAGAGTCCGTACATTCAAATATTTTATGCTTGGCATATGTTTGTTTGGACAACAGGGCCTAAAAAGAAAATATCAATATATCGATATTTTTTCTTAGATATATTGAGGCCGATATTAATACTTTTATAAATATTGATATATCAATATATTTTTTCACTTTCAGCATCCCTAATGACTTGCAATTAAGTGAAATGAGAAATTAAATTAAATTTTGTTAATTACTTATTTACTAAAAATGTATAAAGTGGTGATTATATCTCTATATGAAATGGGAGTTAAAATTATAGTAAAATAGATAGTAATAATAAATGAATAACCATGGAACTATAAAATAAGTATTTGTAATAACCAATACATCTTCTGAAATATAATTATTTCTAACAACAATGCAATAATAGCAAAATCTATTACCACAGCAAAACATAATATAATAATATAAACATTTTATTAGTTACCAATCACACATGAAATAGAAGGCATGTACAATTGCAGATTTGCCTTTGATATAAACGTTAAATTTGAAATCTAATACAGTTATATAGTAAAAGTTATGAGATTTTTTAACGCAAAACCAAAATTACAAAATTAATATCAAGTCCGCCAAAACAAGAGTTATAAAATTTAAATTATGAGTTTTTATGTCATAAATATTTCATCTTTATAATATAACAAAATAGTCTTCTATAAATTACATTTTAGAAATATACATATAGGTTATTTCATCCGGATAAAATATCTCACCTGTATCCACGTCCATTGTCGATATTTATTTACAACTCTTAAGGTTAAACAACTTAAATTATTTCACATTCACTTTTAGGCTACAGTATAGTCATATTGATTATGTGAATCATATTTTAGAAAATTAAAGTAAGACATGAGCTTAAAATTTAACCGCAATCAAAACGAAAAATCTTAATATCTTCTTTAAACTATTATTATCGAGAACGAGAATATCTTAAAGCTATAGAATATAAAATATAGATAGGGGCACAGACAATATATAATATACAGGTGTATAAGTAAAGTACGTAACGTATGAGGTCGTTCATTAACAAAAGTTAATAGATAGTACTACTATAGTATTATAAAGTACTCCAAAATCCTTAAAATAAATAGGATATGATTAATAATTAATTAAATGATCTGTTTCCTATTAATATTCTTCAATATATTTCTTCAAGTAGCAATGGCACACAATTCTACTTTTGTTTTGATACATCAAGATGAGGTCAAAATGCCTAAACTCCCAATATGTTACATTACAGCTCTTAACACAGCTCTAAATTTATAATTTTACGTTTCATGGCAATTTTCAAATAAATAGGATATATGTTACAAGTTGAAGTGAAGTGCACTTATCGATAGGAACTTGTCCTCGGTAGAGCCGCATGACAAAACATCATTTATTGTTACTTATTGCTCTTTATATACGAAATATATTATTATAGTCTTCGCAAGCTCTAAAGCTGCAAGTTCTTATTTTATTCTTCCGAAAATTTGGCTTGTTAATAGAAACTAGTCATTGAACATATGGCTCTCCCATTTCAATGACTAGTTTGTACTGTTTTAGTAGGTACTTAATAATAATTCGTATAATCGAACTAGCCAAACCTTAGGCTTCAATATAATATATGTTATAAAATATTTTATGTTATTATATATAAATTTCAGGACTGACCATTGAACTTGGCACCCTTTTAGAACTCACTTCTTTTGTCGGTAAAGTCAACATCCAAGGCATTACTAGATAGAATAAAACAAAGTCGTCCTACTTACATCTTTATAACTATACAACGGATCTTGATGCGGTGTATTTACTAAATAGAGTGATTAAAGTGGAATGTTTATATGTATAATACATTGCACACGTGCGAAGCGGAAGCGGGTCGCTAGTATGTATGTCATAATATAGAATTTGGCTCTCATTTCACATTTGTGATTTGACGGGATATTATAACTTTTTTTGGACAGAAATTATTAGTAGGTACTTAAAACTCATAATAAAATGAATATCAAATCGTTTTTGTTAACAACTGGATTTTCATTTTGTTTGCGCGGTATAATTTACTTTTTGTGTTAATTTCTATATTATCTTGTACCTTTGAAATGTTCAACGGAATTGCACATTCAGTATCCGAAATTTTAAGCGTTTTTTGTTTAACTTCTACTCTACACTAGTGCTCTCTTGTGCCTTGTTGTGACTTTTATCTAAATTGATAAGATATACTCCATCTAAGGTTTTAATTCAGGAGAGTCGAACGTACCCTTTACTAAATATTATAGAGAAGCATATGTCGAGAAGAGCGCTGTGAAGGCTAAGGCCTTGTGATTTGTGAATAATAATAGCATATGCTTTGCTTTTTGGTTAAAAAAGGGAGTTGTTCCCTGTGAACATATATATTATATAATATGTGAAACTTGGTCTTGACTAGTTCTAGTTCGTAAATTCTGTCTGTACCGTCTCAGCACTCCGGTTTCATGTCAAATTCTTTCACTGTCACTTCTATCTCACTTGGTGGGTAGGTCTTGGAAGGTGGGTCCTAACCCACCAGATGTGCAAAAATTAAAAAGTTATATACAAAATTTCAGATATACAAAAGTGAACATATATATTATATAATATGTGAAACTTGGTCTTGACTAGTTCTAGTTCGTAAATTCTCTCTGTACCGTCTCAGCACTCCGGTTTCATGTCAAATTCTTTCACTGTCACTTCTATCTCACTTGGTGGGTAGGTCTTGGAAGGTGGGTCCTAACCCACCAGATATACAAAAATTAAAAAGTTATATACAAAATTTCAGATATACAAAAGTACTCTTTGCTAACCCACCTTTGATTTGCATGAATTAATAAAACACAGGGACGTTTATGTATCATGTGTTGTGTGTTGTTATGTGTGAAATTTTACAATATGGCAATATTAAATTTAGACCAGCTGTTTGATCGTATCGTATTGTTATTTGTCATTTGTAAATTATGATATATGGTGTGTATCTTATTAGGATTTTTGCCTTTATCAGAGGTAACTATTATGTTCTAATGGAATGCGTTTCTTCAGTCATAATGTAAAAAATATAGATACCCTCATATCACGTGCTCAGGGATTAAGAAATACATCGTAAGGTTTTCGAAATAATAACAAAAAATAAGTAACAAAAATAAGTGCGAAAAACCAATGTAGATAAAATATTTTGAGATTTTCCTCAATGCAAATAGCCGTTAATTCATTGGTTAAAGCGTCGTCTGGGCGCGAATCCAAAACTAGGAAGATGTTGATTGACAAATCAATCGTTCCCGCAGTACTTTTCGGCTTTTTATTTTTCATAATTCAATATTTCATCTTAAGTGCAGAGATTAGCACTTTTATTTCAAATAGTGAGAATGACATTTTTTGTTAATTGTGTGTGGTGGGGTAAGTAAAATTTATTGTACTTGTAACCCAACCTACCCGTTATGTACGTAATTAATGCGTTGCGTACGTAACGTTAAAATCTAAACAATAAACATAGAATCAATTTTCATTTAGAATGTCTGAATGATTGAAATGTAATTTATAAATAGATTTTTCTGTTGCTAAATAGTAGTTCCTAAAATAAATCGCCATGAACGATGTTGGTAAATTGCCTTTAAAGCGAGTTGAATTATCCTTGACAAAGTTTAATGAAGTTGCGATACCTCATCATCTGGATTTACTGAGACAACATAAGGCAAACATTATCAAGGTAAACATTCAGTTTTTATTCTAATTCATAAAAATATTAAAAATCCTTAATAAAGAAGTTCTAGTATTGTATAATTCGTAAATGTTTTTGGCATAAAAATACGTTTCTATAAATAATCTTTTGGTGTCGTAGTAGCAAAATAGTTATATTACAAACACTCCAAGTTCAAGGATGTGGTTGTGAAATTATTTGTAAGTAAGTTCAAACTTGACTATCTCTTAACAGCCTACTAATGTTTATTTTTCTTGTTTCATTGCAATTGTTCAGTTTTTTCTTAAAACTAAGAAACATCCAGCATTTAGAAAAACAATGCATTTCAAAAGTTTAATTAACATTCAGAACAATATGACAATGTAAAATTCACATGATTTATTTGTAAAGATTTGAAATAGATATGTAATATTGCTTTAGTCTTTCATTATATACTTGTCTAGATTAAGAAAAGCTTATCAAACTATGTGTGAGTACCGCTCGTAATCTTATTGTAAACAAACTGTCTGCTCTGCATTTAGTAGTGCAAGTTATACAAAATAGGTTGCATAAAGTAATTATTTTGTAGATTAGTAGTTTTATTTATTTTAGTAACGACAAAAAATACAATGAATACAGTATTTTATACAATGAAATCTGTTTCTAAAATGTGCTGCATAATCACTTTACAGCTTTTTTTTAAAGTACAGAATATGTAGGTAATCTGAAACCCAAAATAAAAGAACTAACAAAAATACTATTTAGTGCATGACATCATGGGTTTCATTTATTTTGTGTAGGTAAATTATCATTTGCTGATGATGTAATTTTTAAAATAATTATGTTCTGATAGAAAGATGATGTCATGATATTTTCGTTTTGTCTCACATAGTTTTCCCAAAACTTCCTAGTAAAAAATTGAGAACACTGGCTAACCCAACTAACCTACGAAATAATGAACGAAAAAATTATTGTTTAATGTTTTCTTAAATTATTAGTAGTTAAATAACTAAACCTAATGATGAAAAGTGATCTTGGTATTAATATACGATTTTCCTAAATAATTGTGACACAATTTGATAGTACAGATAATTATTTTTGTGAGCATGCTGTCCATGATTAAAATGACACTGATGTAAGTGAAACATGGGTGTAATAATTTTAGTAGGCATTTTTTTGCACCTTTCGGTACCGCCAATGGGTTATTAGGATGTGTATATGTATAATCAAAGGCTTTAGTAATGTGGTAAAATTCAATCAATTTGACAAACTAGTTAAGATTTCATATTTGTAGCATTAGTTTTTTTACTTCATATTTAACACTATGGAACAAAATTCAATGTTTTTCTGATGTTATGACCCCACTCTGAAAATATTTTACTTATGCTATTGATATGTACCAGCGACATTTCCCTATTGGATAACTACATTTTAACTATGGTTATTGTCTATATGTATTATGAATATCATAAAACTTTTGACAAAGGTCAGTAGGCCACTGATAGGAATACAGCTGTGTACATATGTACATACAAAACAAATACAATGCCACAAACCCTAAATAACATAGAACAAAGGAGTACAATTTGCATGTAATAAAATTGTCATGTCAATATGTGTAATCTTAAATGTGGGTACTTTTTACTTTGTTGTCAAATAAAGTTAAACAAGTGAAGATAGTAGTAGAAGAGATATACGATTGACGTATTGTGTTAAGCTACCTAGCTAATTACATTATAGTAAATACTTAACGTCTTTTATTTTTATTCTGGACATAATAAAAATAATGAATGTAAATTAATTCAGAAATTTTTGTTTTTTAAATGAAAATAACATTTCCAGGTCCGTCTGGGTAAGTATCAAACCTCACAGAAGTCCGGCGTAAAGTGGAAGTGTTTTACTTCCGCGTTTCGTCTGGTAAGTGAGGTAGCCGAGGCCCACTTTATTAAAAAGTGGCAATACATCTGCAACCCTACGGGTGTTGAAAATGTCCTTGGGTTGCGGTTATCACTTAACACCAGGTGTTACGCCAGCAACCCCAGCTTATTTGCCACTTAATTACATAAAAAATTATAATAATTCACAAGATATTTATTTAAATCTTGTGACACATGTGTGGAACAGTGGCTCAACTTAATATGCTTGGGTAACAAATCTTGTTTTGGTTTTAGAGAACTTGTTAGTTCAGGAGTGATATTCTAAAAACATATACTAGTAGCATTATTAATACCATAATTCTCTTGAAGGCACCCTCTCCACAAGCCGCCGCCTCACGGCCGGCGCACCACAAGGCTCCTGCCTCTCACCTTTGCTCTTTACGCTCTACACGAGCGATATACCTAAAGACCCCCACGTCAATCTCGCGCTTTTCGCGGATGACACGGCGTTTTTTTATTCCGACCGCAACCTTAGACAACTAACCACTCGACTCCAAAGCGCCGCCGACCGCCTCGGCGATTGGTTCCGCAAATGAAGAATAGAAATAAATCCCGAAAAGAGTGTGGCGATTCACTTCACACGAAGTACTTACCCGTCACATCTTTATAATCCTATATATACTCCTCACTGGAGTACTGCAGTCCTATATGGAGCCCATCTTATGGAATTCACATTGAAAGAATTGAAAGGATTCAAAAACAGTTCTTGTACCATCTGACATACGCTAGTAATCGCTGCCTAACATTGAATTCTTACAACTCTCGTCTGCAACATTATAAAATGAACTCACTTGCTGTTAGACGCGAAGTAGCTGAAATTGTATTACTGTACAGAATATTGCATGGTAAAATAGAAAGTCCCGATCTTCTCGAGAAATTAAATCTCAGTCTGCCACGACATGGTGTCCGTTTGCAGAGGCGAAATGTGTTTGCGCTACCATTCCGAAATGTGTTTGCGCTACCATACCCGTTACGGTCAGCACTCTCCTTTGTACCGGCTGTGTTCGAACTACAATGCTATATGCCAGGATTTCGACATATTTAGTGTACGGTGTAGTAACATTAAAAAATATGTAAGGGCTAAAGTATAATTTAAAATTTATTTCAATAGTTGTATTAGTTGTAATTTAAATGTTGTTTTATCCACTATTTTTAATTTAGCTTTAATTTCTTTTGTTTTTCATTTTTTATTTTGTTTGAAAAGTAATTTTTTTTATTTCATTGTACAATTATTAATTGTTGAGAGTGTTTTTTGTGCATGTTATGTTCGCTCATTGAAGAACATTCACTTGTGTGTTAAGTTCCGTATCAACTTTATCTGTGTCCATTATTCTGTAATGTGAGTGTAATGTTCAGTTTGCGATCCTAATTAAATAAAATTAAAAAAAAAATAATGGCCCTCGCCAATGCAGAAAGTTGGGGCAAATATCCCTTTATGGCCAACCGCTCCCCTGGGAGAAAAAGGTATATACAGGCAAATACTTAGGAGTCACTTTCAACTCGCTATGTCATTTAATGCGTACATTAATAACGTTCGCAATAGAGCCGCGTTCGTCTCCGGCCGGCTACACAATTTAACTAACGCTAAAAGTAAAATGCCCTTAAGGCACAAATTATTATATAAGACCTGCGTACGACCTATTATGTCCTCCGCATGCATGTACATGGCCCACATGCACCCTACTCGCTTGTACAAGTTGCAAATAGTACAAAATAAGTTCATCCGCCGCGCAACCGGTGCGCAGTGGTATCAACGCAACGTCGATCTGCACAGCGATTGCAGACTCCCGACGATTTGCGAATATTTTAAAGACCTGACCAAACGGTTCTTCGATAGAGCCGAACATCATCCCAACCCTCTGGCGGTAAGCGCAGCAAATTACCAACCCGACACAAACGCGAACGTCAACAAGCGTCGCCCGCGAAATGTCCTCATCGACCCGGTCGAGGAAGGGGACTTAGATACGTCGGACCCACCTCCGGGGGTCCTGCCGGATAACACCACACCCACAGTTAGTGCAACAACAAACACACTAGTTGACCCTCGCCTCCGAGCACGGCGAGACCAACACAACGCGTAAAATAAAAAAAATAAAATAAAATAAAAATATCTTTATTCACATAGACGCTTGCGCGTTCTTATGAAACGTCAAAATTTTACAAGAAATGAACACGTTCGTAAGTTACCACCGGTTCGGAAAGCAGTTTCTGTTGAGAAGAAACCGGCAAGAAACTCAACAGTTGCTCTTTTTAAAAAAAAAATCAGTTTACAATATAATAGTACATGTACAATAGTCTTGTTTTAGCCTACGTGAGTATCAACAGTATTAACCCCACACATTGGCGTCGTCAAGATATTCAGCAATAGAATAATAGGCTTTAGCCATAAGTTTACTTTTAATTTTTCGTTTAAATTCATCAAGTGGCAGACTTAATATCGACTGTGGGATTTTATTATACATGCGCACACCTTGCCCCATGAACGACCTGTTTACTTTTTGTAAACGAAACAATGGCGTAGTTAGTTTGTCCTTATTTCTAGTATTTAGTTTATGTCTGTCACTATTCTTTAGATAACTATTAATATTATTTTTAACATACAAAATGTTACAATAAATATATTGAGACGCAACAGTGAGTATATTAATCTCTTTAAAAAGGTCTCTGAGTGTATTCCGGGCTCCGATGTTATAGATTGCTCGGACAGCTCTTTTTTGAAGAATAAATATAGAATTTATATCAGATGCACTACCCCACAACAAAATGCCGTAAGACAAGATGCTGTGGAAATAACTGAAATAAACAAGTCTGGCAGTGTCGATGTCTGATAGCTGCCTAACCTTCCTAACTGCAAAAACAGCGGAGCTTAACCTGTTCGCAAGAGATGATAGATGGGGACTCCATTGGAGCTTTGAATCCACTGTAATTCCCAAGAATACAGCGGACTCAACAGGATTAAGGGTTACGCTATTTAATGTTAAGCTAAAACTTCGCCTTCTTACGCTGGGAAGGGTAAAAAGAAGGCATTTAGTTTTTTTAGCATTTAACACCATATTATTAACGGTAAACCAGTGGAGGATACGCGAAAGTGCACTATTCACGTCGTCATAATCCGACACGTTTCGGTCAACCTTAAAAATGAGCGATGTGTCGTCAGCAAACAGTACAATATCACATAACTCACTGGCATAAAAGGGGAGATCATTTATATACACTAAGAATAATAATGGACCCAAGATTGATCCTTGTGGGACACCCATTTTCATGGGGGACCCTGTGGAATTTACATCATTTATAGATACTTTTTGAATTCTATTATTAAGGTAAGAGGCAATGAGATTGAGGGCGATGTCACGAATGCCATAATAATCTAACTTTTGAAGGAGGGTTTCGTGGTCTACACAGTCGAAAGCCTTTGAAAGGTCGCAAAAGACACCTATTGCATCTTGTGACCTTTCCCAGGCGTTATAAATATGCTTGACAAGTGCGACACCCGCATCCGTTGTCGATCTGCCTTTAGTGAATCCATATTGCTCATTGTGGAAAATTTTGTTCATATTAAAATGTACTAAGAGTTGATTTAAAATTAGTTTTTCAAAAATTTTACTCAGAGATGGCAATATGGAGATAGGTCTGTAATTTCCTGGATCATTTTTATCCCCACTTTTGAAAACGGGGATTATCTTACTGAATTTCATAAGATCTGGAAATATTCCAGAATCTATACATTTGTTAAAAATATTTGCCAAATATGGTGCAATATACGGCATTATTGTACTCATTAATTTTATGGACATGCCCCACAAATCTCCTGTATTTTTAAGATTAATAGAATTCAAAACTTTTATAATATCATTAGTATCTATGTGATTAAATTTAAACGTTTGTCGACAATAGGTAACATTATTTTTTAATACATTAATTGCATCAATGGGAGAGGATTTTAACGTGCATGTAACATTAATTGCAATTTCTGAAAAATAACTTTCAAAACTACTTGCAATTTCGTTATCTGAAGTTAAAAGTACACAAGTACACAAGTCGTACACAAGGTACACCCGCGTTCCGGGGCGGTTCTCACCGCTCCCAGCCACCGATTAGCTAATTGCACAGTCGACGGCCATCGGGGTTTCGGTCCGAACCGCGACCTCGATGGCCCTTAGATGACACACCATACTTAAACGCACGCATGAGCACATGCGCGGCCCTATCCACAGCGGAGGGCCCAAACCCGTGGGTTCTGGCTAGCCCACCGGTTCTGCGTCAGATGAAGCTTTAATAGTCTCGGGACTGAAAGCAAAAACATCAGTTAATAGAAGATAATTCTCTACCATTTAGTTATAATTACTAATAGAATTAAATTTATGACTTCTTTATGTTTTTCTTGACACCTTGATTTTTTCTTGACACCTTGATTTTTTCTTGACACCTTGATTTGGTTGTCTGGTGATTTATGAGCTCTGTACTTTTTTTTTATGGAAAAAGGAGGCCAACGAGCATGCGGGTCGCCTGATGGTAAGGCTCTCTTCTTGAAGTTCCCTAGGTCGTATCGGTCTGGAAATTAGCGACCATCCATGAAGTAAATTTCCGTCACTACTTATAATCTATCTTTTCTTTTCTATATCTTCTCTATATTATAAAGAGGAAAGATTTGATTGTTTGTATGTATTGAATAGGCTCCGAAACTACTGAACCGATTTGAAAAATTCTTGCACTGGAAGCTACATTATCCCCGGTTGATATAGGCTATATTATATTTTCAAAAAAATAGGGATCCTTACTAAAACTTCAATAATGTAACCTTCAAAGTGTACAAAAATTACTTAAAATATTCTTTACATCGCGTGCGCTGCGAAAACTATTGATGATAGAATAAAGTATTGTACTACGAATTTGTAGAACACATCATTATTTCCAAAAAGTGTCGCGAGAGCATATGTCTAACTATTATAGTTATGCCACAATAAGTGTTCTTTTATTTTAAAATTTTGGTTGAAATGCCGCCGCTAGAAAAGGCTCTTTATTTGTATCTTGGTATTAATCCCTATAAAAATAAATTACTTCATATTTAAGACTGTTTCAATATCTTTATACAACTTTTTGAATTATTAAATTCGGACATTCTATTCGAGAGATATCACAAGTTTAAAAATGTTAGTATATTGGAATTTAACTATCCAAACAGCTTAGTGACTGACTTAATAGTTCTTATAACTTTTCAATCATATTTATACTGGTAATTCCTGTTCGATAGTTAGCAAATTATTAAATACAAAGAGAGTTTAATTTTTTTTTTCATTTTAAAGATCTCATCATTATAGAAATAGTTCCCAGGCGTCAGCATCAAAAATACGTCGTAATGAGGAATCTTTACCGGAAACTGAAAATAGTCTTACAAGTCTGAGAGAGTCAAGAGTGATTGCAGCGGCTTGATGAGCATAATAATATAAATACACAAATTAACACTAGGGAGTCGAGTTCTGAGCGTTCCCAACGCCTACGAGATTAGAGGGAAAGACAACAAACGTCAACGATTAGAGTTCGTAATCGACTTTTAGCTCACAGTAACAGATCAGCTTTAATGCATTAAGCTCAACAGTCTTTTGTTCAAATCGGAGCCATGAATAAGATCTGCTCTAAGTGTTCTGCCACAAATGGGTCGATGAACCAAATGGTATGTGCTGTGCTTCTGGAAAAGTTAGTCTCCCCAATATTGAGGAGCTGCCACAGCCAATAAAAAATCTTTTGACAAATAATCATTCACCATCTGGACATTTTTAACCAACATTCGAAAGTGCAATAGCCTCTTTCAAATTATTTTGTTTAGCGTGAACTTTTAAAATAGAGGAACAAGTATACAAGTTATCATCATCCTCCTGCCCCTATCCCACCTAGGTGGGATTGGCACAACTATATTTTTACAACCAGCCGCCTGCCTGACGTCAAGCCTCCTTGGGAAACAAATACCCAGATCAAATTTCAACTCACAATTGTAACTATCACGGTTCATGAGATACAGCCTGTTGACAGAGGGACAAACAGACAGCGGAATCTTAGTAATAGGGTTTTACCCTTTTACTAACACCGTTTTACCATTTGGGTACGGAACCCTAGAAGGCCCTAGATATATACTGTTGCACGGTAGACACGGCCAACTTAAAAGGTAAAGAATTCTCATTCGAATTATCGTTGTAAAACGATATTCGAAATTGTTTGTATGCTGGAAAGGATATAACAATAGATACGCCAAGCATTGCTTCAAATGCTAAATAACAATGTAGAAAGAAGGCGTTAAGATTTTCGTCGCTGTGGCTATCAGCCGTTTAGCTCAGTGGCTAGAGCGTCAGGCCGCGAATACCGAAGACGTGGGTTCGATTCCCACAGCGGCGACAATCTTTTCGTACTTTTTCTACATGTTTCAAATGTGTACAGATAAAGTGTTGGATTGAATGTTTTATGTCTTAAGTATACCATCCCACACAGGGGCTCACATGATGTTCTATGTCCTAATACCGTTTGTACAGAAGAGGTCCTTCTCTATTAGTGGGAGATATATACATTGTATTGTATGTATTATACTGTACTGAAAATTTAAACTCATTTAAAAGCAATTTCAATAGTTCATCCTGCTTGTTGCAGTATGGAGAGAGCGGCGAGACGGCGCGGGTGCGCGCGGAGCAGACGCATGCCCGTCGAGTGGCCGGGCAGCTGCGGGTGCTGCTGGGAGAGCTGGATGCACTGCGGAGACAGGTTGGACATTGCAAGTCGTGGGGGGAAACAGTTTCTCAGAGCTGAGAGAATTGATAATCTGAAGTTAAAACTTCTCCCGATAAATCATTACCTAATGAGCAATATATATCTTGAAGGCGTTTTTGGTTTACGTCAGGTGCGTGAGGAAGACTGGGCGCGTTTCGACCAGCTGACGCGTCGCTCCAGAGATCTAACGCTGCGCTCCATCGTGGATTACTTTGGTGCGTTTGCTGTGTTAATCAACCACGCCGTATGATCTTAGGGCTGCATAAAGGAAAGGGACTTCTAGCTTACTACTACAGTTTAAATTTAACTATTTTGAAGATATTTTATATATTTCACATTACTTATTGTAAACTATTAAGACAGTGGTTTCTGTAATGACTAAAAGCGAAATATTTGATATCATTATATCTATTTTGTTATTTTTGTTCAAAATTTGGCAAACAAACAGGGGGCCAACGGTTAATGGACATGTACAGCACCTGAGAGGTGAAGATGTTTTGCCAATATTTAACAAGTAGACTCCGCTTGACCTGTGAAGTTGTGGTATTTCCCCACACGAGGCTGCGCACTTGTGCAACGGCAGAAGGAACCTTCCTCAATATAAGGGATTCCTCACAGGTTCAAGCATGCCCTTGTGCCATGCGATCGTCAGCAGATGAGACCCGCAGTGCCAGATTTTCTATGTTCTTTTTCCCTCATGAGACTCAATTGTCAGTTCATTTTGTTATGAATTCATCTTGGGCATAATTGTATTCATAATATGTTTAATGGAATATGTTTACGCAAAATCGCGCGTCAGTCATTAGTGAGAAACGGTGGCGTGTGCTTGTAGGTGTGATAGAGCGCAGTTGTAGGGGCTTGGTGGGTGCGGGCCGCGAGACGGCGCGTTGGCGCGGTGAGACTGCCTTGTTATGCCGATTGACTCTTTTGTCTGACCTGCATGTGTCGTTTTCTAGTGATATTAATAGCATACGGATTTTGTTGTTGTAGTATAATGTAACATTTTATAATAATCGACGGGTTGTGGAGACATATTTTAAATACACCATATCGCTCGTCTATGTCGACAGGAGTGCAACTTAGATGAAATTTCAGCATTCCGTGCTGAGCTTACTAATAATGAAATTTGAACCAATAATATTGAACTAATTCCTCCTTTCCCCGAGTCGTTTTTTTTGTTTGTTCCGCTTAAATCGACTGGCGTTTCAGTCGGAATTGGTTTATCACTGAAGTGTATGCCGCGCAGAGTCGTCGCCGGTGGCGATGCGCCGTCGGGAGGAGGGCGAGGGCGAGGGCGAGGGCCAGGGCGCGGTGAGCGGCAGCGCCCGCTCCACCGAGTCGGTGGGCGTGGTGGCGCACTCGCAGCGCGGCCAGCTGCAGCTGCGCCACGACGACCAGGTCGGTCCTCGGCTCGTCGCCAGGGAGTGGCCAGGCGCTGGTGCGGTGAGGGTTGAAGGCGGTTGCCCCCTTGCGCGCAGGAGCTGCAGCTGCGCGAGCGAGAGGCGGTGCTGCGCGGCTGGGAGGAGCTGCAGGCCGAGGTGCGCGCCCTGCACGAGGCCTGGGCACTGGTGCATCGGGCCGCCACCCACCACAAGGAACAGGTTAGCTCTATGCACTGGCCACCGTCATCGAGTTGGAATTATTCATTTTCGTTCAATAGTAATAGGTGTTTGGGCGTAGGTGTGCTCGGTGGAGGCGCGCGCGGAGGAGGCGGCCGAGAACGTGCGCGAGGCGCGAGGCAGCCTGCGCGTGGCCGAGAGGTGAGCGTGTCCCCGCACTGGCCACTAGTCACTAGTGATGGGACTATGGGACGGTGCTCGGCGAAGGGTCGTTCCGCAGGCTGGGCGCGTGGGGCGCGTGGGCGCTGGGCGCGGGCGGCGCGGCGGCGGGCGCGGCGTGCGCGGGCCCGCTGGGGCTGCTGGCCGGCGCCAAGGCGGGCGCCGCCGCCGCGCTCGCCGGCGCCGCGCTCGGCGTGGCCGCCACGCGCGCGCTCGCCGCCGCGCCTGCCACTCCGCCCGCCGCTGCCACCCCTGCCACCCCTGCCACCGCTGCCACCGCTGCCACACCCGCCGCCGACAACACCGACGGCACCGCCCTGCGCAAGAAACTGCAATAGCACAAGTCGTTCGTATCGCATACATATCCTAAAATAATGTACAATTTCACACCTCGTATTATTCATTTAATTATTAAATGATAATGAACAATTAAAAATGTTTGTGCAATTTTTTTAAGAGATTTATTTTTTTTATTTCATTTATATTGTAATCATACAGGAGTTATATTTACTTTATTGACTACTATACCACAAGTACCTATTATTATTACAATTATGTATATTTAGCTATGAAGTGTACTTGGCAGGAGCTACTCATGCCAAGTACATCACATTTACATGTTAGCAACGGAAAACCTGTCCAGCGAACAAAATCTATATGATAAAGATTCAAAAATGTTGAATCGATCCAACAGTAACATCACCCTCATCAGCATTTTATATTAGAAAGTGTCCTTCTTCTTAGTCGGACACTCTTGGCAGAGTGGTCGTTGCTGTGATGGACAGGGTTGTCGTCGCTGCTCGCTTCCAAGGCAAGGCACGTCTCGCGATGTTCCTCCACTGGAGGCGGCTGTTAGCAATGCGAGCGCATTGTACTGCTGTGGCTTTCGTAGAGCTGGTGAATCTAGCTTGTGGGGGTGAATCTTTTGCTTGTACAACGGCCTTGGCTCGACCTTCCGAGTGGTATTTTGCGTTCTTTGAAACACGAGGCCCCTGAGTGCAACAAAAATGACAAGTCAATCTCCTATAATATTAAAGATGGAACCTTAGACATGACAGTCTTGTAACAGCTATTGAGTGGCCTTAAAAATATGTAATAACTAAAAAAGTTTAAATGTAAAAAATTTGTTACATATAGTGTATGTCAATATGTTTAGTTCTGAATTGAGTGTATTAAAAGCAAAATTTAATTAAAAAACTCAGAAGCTGTGATTTATATTTTAATATAGTCTTTATATACACTGATCATTAATAAACCCAACTGAGCAATTTTTAGCGGCGCAACAAAATTCAGTGTTACAGTCAATGTTGGGCCATTTGACGTATGACCAATTTTAAAAGCTGCTCAATAAGCAGACATAATGTTATAATATTAAAGATATGAGCGTGTGTTCAAACAAAAAATATTTAATTTAATGTTTTAATCTCTTACTAAGATTAATAAAATTTATTATATAAGTGAGGCTCGTAATATGAAGACGATTCGGTCATGACGAAGTTTTCATAAAATAAAAAATTAGTTTAAAACAAGCTTTAATTTTTTAATAATGAAAGCGTTTCACGTTGTGATAGGACAGTAAAGAACATTTAGGATAATTACACCTTCATTATTTTTCTTCACAATGTAACACACGCTTTTATTTATAAATAATAAAAGCTTGTTTTTAAAAAATCTTTTTGCTTTTGATGTCCGGGCGCTCGACTAACTCAATTTACTCGAGCAACCTGAGTTCGATCCCCGGTGCCGGTACCAATGAAATTGTTAATTTTAAGTGCTGAATTATGAAGTGCTCAGCGGTGATGGAAAACATCGTGAGGTAACCTACCTACATATTTTTCGAAATAATAACAAAAAGAAAATGTTTCGAAAATATGTGACGTTCTGCCAATCACAGTGGGGTCGCCTGGTGGACTATGCCATATTTCCCTACATACAAAAGTACTCTGTGGACTATGCCCTCTTTACCTCTTAGGCCTTTGCCCATTTGTGACACATTTCTAGGCTGTTTGCTCTTTTTTTTTACATTTTAATTATTTAATTTTTTTAATATCTTATATCTAAATATTCCATCTGATCATGGAATTATATTTTTCACAAGCAAAGCAAATAACCAATCTTCTATAAATTAGAATCTTAAAAAATATTGACACAATTACTTGGAACACGAATTCTAGCAGATTTAGAAATAAAAAATGAGTAAAAAATTTTTTCTAATTATATAACACACGACAATGTACAAGATAAAAAACAATTCTGTAGGGCATAGAATAGATACTAGTCATCATACCACTCTTCTCATAATAACATCGTGATATTTATACTGTGCGACAAAAACCCTTATTAGTTATACATCTGTAGTCCATGTCACTCTACACAATCTGTGGCCCCTTCGGTCAAAAAGTCAAAAATGTTATAAAACATGGCCGATTTGATTGGTGCATTCATATAATGATATTTAGAACTTTAGGTTGTAATTTTACTGATCGTTTCGTTTATTATTTAGACTTCAAGTCAAAGTTAATAAAAGCATCAAATAAACTTTTGTTTCTATTTTAAGTCTCGTGTTTGGAGACAAAATTTGTGCTAAGTGTACGCGTCACTGACAAAGTGTATGTGGTTTAAGTGTTGATAATATAGAACGCGGATGTACGTTTGAAAGTTCCAGTGATTGTGCGATGTCTTTCCCGCCTCGGCCTCCGATGGTGCCGTACGGGATCGCTCCGGGAGTGGTCACCATGCCCATGGCCACACATGTAAGCAAAGCCGCCACACGAAGTTACCGTAACTAACCTGTAAAACTTTTTCTAAGAAGTTTGAACTTTTATTAAGAGAGAGGTTTTAAGGCTTCAAAAGTTGATTAGGTTACTTTGGGATGTTTCAACTTGACTGTGTAATGATTTTAATTAAGCTGAAGTATTTGATCGATTTTCTCATTTAGTTTCTTGCAAAACAAATAGCAAACTTGTGCGTATCAAGTTTATCGTCAATATTACAATATTCAAACTTGAAACCACAATTATCTCATTGTGTTGTTGTTTATTTTACAAGCATTGCTTTCCAAAACTACAAGTAAGTTTTAAAGAGTCATTGTAATATGTAAGTATCATTAAATGCTTGTTATCATCTTAAATTAAAAAAAAAAAAATCTAAAAGGTTTTTAGCTATATTTAATATAATGGTTTAGCATAAGAACATGTTCTCCTTTTGTTTGAAATTCAACCTTTATTGTTATTGAAAGTTTTCAAAAATTTTTTGGACTAGGAAAAGGTACTAAATTGGTTTTGTGTTTGTTATTTATATATGGATATTAAAAATGTTCAAATACATAGTTACATAAATTGGTATTGTTATATTAAAAAATAATAATTGCAGGTTATGGTAGGGGCTTACAGCAGTGGAGCGGTGAGCACAGGTGCCGGACGCGGGGGACTGTTGCCCGCCCCTGCCAAGCAACCCCCTCGCTCTGCACCCAGACAGACTAATGGCAAGGAACCCGAAGGGCCTGCTGTCACAGTTTTCATTGGTAAACTGCTTATTAACTTGAGTTCCCTTAATATTGTAATGCAATGAGAATTGAGATAAATACAATAATTAAGTAGATAATTATATGTGTTTAATACTGTTCTGTATAAAGAAAAGATCAGAGCCCTTATTAGTTGAGAAAATATAATATTTCTTAATAGTCAAAGAATTTTGAAAGGTTAAGTTAATAAAATGCACCTAAATGTTCAGGCAACATCACAAGCCGCGCGCCGGACGCGATGATCCGCGCGCTGCTGGCGGCCTGCGGGCCGGTGCTGAGCTGGAAGCGCGTGTCCACGTTCGGCTTCTGCGAGTTCGCGGGGCCCGAGGCGGCGCTGCGCTGCGTGCGGCTGCTGCACGAGTTCCCGCTGGCCGACAAGAAGCTGCTGGCGCGCACCGACGGCAAGATGCAGGGCCTGGTCGACTCCTACAAGAGTGGGTGTTTGCTCTGCTCTGTCTGCGTCCGCTCCATCGTCCGAGGAGGCGGGCGGTGGAGTGACGGGGCGTGGGCGTGCTTGCAGCGGAGCAGCGGTCACGGCTGGCGGGCGAGGAGGGCGGCGGCGGGGGCGGGGGCGGGGGCGGCGGCGCGGGGGGCGGGGGCGGCGAGGCGGACGGCGGCTACCTGGACGCGGCGCAGCGCGCGCTCGACGAGGCGGCGCAGCGGCGGCTGGCGGACATCGTGCGCGACCACCAGCACGAGATCAACAACTACGAGCTGCTGCAGCAAGGTGCGCAGGTGGAAGGGGGCGGAGGGGGCGGAGGGGGGGCGTCCGGTGCTTAACGGTCCGTCGTGTTGCAGAGGAGGCGATCTCGAAGACGGCGCGCGTGCTCGAGGAGGCCGACATCTCGGAGGAGAAGCGCGACGTGATCCACCGCGAGATCGGCAAGTTTCGGGAGAGCATGAAGGTAACCGGAGAGTCCGTGCGGGGCGGGGAGGGGGTGTGCAATTTCATGTGATATGGTCAAGGAATGTTCATGTGGAATACAGCGACGCGCTTTCTCTTGTTCTTTCACGGGCAGGAGGGAAACGTAGAGTGAGGCCAAGTCAGCGCGCGTAGACGCGGTGATTGTTGGATCCGGTGAGTCACTTAGGGATTTGTTTGTCGCGGCTCGGAGGCCGAGGCTCCGCGTCAGAGGCCTGCGGCGGACGGAGCGCCCTGCGGGCCCTCCCGAAGCCCCAGCGCTCTCCGTGTATCGGTCACATTCCGCCATGCCACGGTTCTGCCGTTGCGGAGTTCGCCGTACTGTTAGCGTTTTCTATTTATTTATATTAACGACCGATTTTTAACATTCTTTTGTCTACAATCATCTATCTAAGACTTTAAACTTTCATCATTCATTAACATTATCTATGGATTATTTCTATAACATTTATATACTTGTCAAAGGCTAAATATCCATTAGAAGAGCTTTCGTTCCATTAGAGAGCGGTCGCGCCAACCGAGACGCGGCGCCGTAGAACGCCCTCGCGTTAATCGTTCCGTCGGACGGGCTAGTGCCGCGTCTGGGTGGGCGCGGCCGCCGCTCGCCGCGCGGGCAGAGGCGGGGAGCCGCCGAGGGCGCGTCGTTGTCGTGCCGCGGTCGTGCCGCGGTCGTGGCCGGCTCGTCCTCGGCGGGTCGCCGCCGGCCGCGCGCCGCATCAGTAAGTGGCGGGGCGCGGCCGGCCGGGCGCGCGCCCCCGCGGGGGGCGCCCCTCGCGGGGGCGCGCGCGCCGGCGGGAGTGGGGCGGGGTGGGGCGGGGGGGAAAGGGGTGGGAGAGGGCGCCGGGAGCGGCCGGGCGCGGCGCCGAGCCGGAGCTGCGCGCGCCGCTTCGCCGCCGCCTCGAGTGAGATCCGCATTGCGCACTGTCCATTGCAGCCCCGGGAGGGGAGCCCGACCGACGCCGGGTGCGTCGCCGCCGGTGCATCGAACGTATCTCGGTCACGTCACACATTTTACGAGTCCACATCCACCAGTGCCGATGGCCCGCTGGGCCCGCCGTCGGTCGAGGCCCCCGGCCCGTCTGGCCCCGAGCGGCCTCGGCCCCGAGCTCTGTCCGAGCGAGGCCGTTCGCGGCGAGGGCGCGTCGACCCGCGTCCTCTTCGCGACATTCAACTCATAACTCGAAGTTTCTAAAATTGTTATATCGAAGTGCTCTGACCATTACTAATAATTGAACTATTTCAAAGTAGTAAGAAAATACTAGTTTCTGTTCAAAATTACGCCGTACTCGGATTTTATCTTTTATCTCCTTATTATTGTTTTAATTTTGATATATCTTTGAAGAAACTAAAAATCTTAAACACGCGTGGAATAAAGTGAATTTTATAAATTAATCGGCCGTACATCTGTTTATAACTGTCTTCTATAATTTGTTACCATAAATAACCGGACCTAGACAAGGTCCCTGTGGAATTGATCTATATATATATATATATATTGTACTTTTTCTTTAGATGTTTATTTGAATATTCCGTTTTGACGACACTCGGACATTGTAGTACAAAGTGGGTAGCGAGTGCAGGCCGAGTGTTGCGCAGGAGGAGGCCGACGTGGTGGTGCGCCGCAAACGGGACAACAAGGAGGAGCGCGAGCGAGACAGAGACAAGGAGCGCGACAGGGACCGCGAGCGCGAGCGGGACAGAGAGCGCGAGCGCGACAAGGACAGGCGCCGACAGAGCCCCGTCAGGAACAAGGAGCGAAGGGACGAGCGCGAGAAGGAGCGCGAGCGAGAGGAGAGGGAGCGGGAGCGCGAGAAGGAGAGGGAGAGGTATATAGCTATTGAGCAGAACGGCTTCACCACAGTGGTTCTTGATTGAAGTAAACAGTTCTTGCTGGGTAATACCCTCCTAGCAAGGCACAGAGTTCCACTTATGATATTCATACCCAGTGCTGTCTTCATTTAGATAATTTTTCTCTCATGGGAAACTCTTGGATAAATCCGGTCATGTTGAGGACAATTGTTTCAGAGAGATACGCGAGCGAGAAAGGGAGCGCGAATTACGAGAGAGGGAAAGAGAAAGAGAACGGGAACGCGATAGAGAAAGGTGAGTTTGATACCGTTACATCTGTCTTTGTACCATTTGTTTGTACTTTTTACCGAAGTGTCTGAATCGTTAATTAAAAATCCTCTTCCATGAGATCAATGTTTTTGTCAAATAAATATTTTCATTTCTCATATTATTCGCTCAAATAGTGTTCCTTGCTGCTTGGATCAATTATTGTTTTTACTTTAATCTCCATTACATTTATAAGTTGGAATAAACCGCACATTTACAGAATAGAAGAAAAAAAAATGTTGATATTAGCAATCATTTTGATTTTTTCTCTTAATATCGTGATTATGGTATATCTGAACATTCGTGAGTTCTTTAAACTCCAAGTTTATCTGTATTTGATAATCATTTTTTAAAGTAATAATAAAAATTTATATTTGATAATTATTAAAAAAGGGTGGAGTACTGCAAGGGACTTGTATAGTTACTATTTGCTTATTCCTGTTTCGCTCGTGCGCATTTGAATTAATAGAAGATAAATGTACTTTATTATTATTAGTTCCAGGGACAATTTAAGAAAAAAAATTAAGCTACTTTCGTTTTCACCACCGCTTAAGTGTCACACTTAAGACAAATTGATAAATTTTAGGTGACACGATGTCCCTTAAAGCTAGGGATCGATGTTGAAATCGGCCATAATACCATGCTGTTTAAAATAATTAGAAACGAACAATGAAAATTCATATAATCATTGCTGTCTTTACTCTAATACGCTTCATTTGCAAATATTTTTTTAATGTTCACGATTGTTCACGATTTAACATTTTTACGGTCGAAACATCTAAACCCATTCCTATACGTAATATAATTTAATTTTTATTAAACAATACAGTATCAGTTGATACAAAGAATTAGATGATGACTGGTGTAGGTCTTTCAATGTAATATCGCTTAAAGTGGAAGGGAAAATTGTCCTAATGCTTGCGTTCCGTAACTGAAGGCGAGAAAGAAGTTTCTTTATTGGGAACATGGCGTGGATTTATCACCGTAATTAACTTTATATTTTATTGTTCCGAACGCCCCGTTATCGCAAGTTATCGCCGTGCGCCTTCGGAGTGGCGGCTGTTTCTCGCCGCCGATTCTGTGTCATCGTTAATATGAATTGCACGCCTCACTCGTTCCAACGGCTCGCTCGTTCTGACTTAGTTGATTTTATTCTGACGATCAGATTTCATTAGTGTGGGACGTTCGATTCTAAATTTCCATACACAATACAATATAGTCGTGTCATGGCCTTGTGACCACTATGTGTTTAGCCTCCAGTATGGTGGTTCAGTGCTTAAGACTTTGTCTGCATCCTTACATAAGGACACGATATGAGATTGAGAGGGATTTGCGTGGCGGTGGCGAATGGTAACTTACCTCTCTGCTAATTTTTAAAGGATATTCTTTTGAGCCTGTGCTTAATATGTGTCGGTTTCTGTTCCGTTTGGCGTTAAAACCGCGCCAGTGGAGGGCGAACACTATCATTTAAAAATGTTCATAAGTACACTCAAATAATTTGGATTTATATGGAGGTTGCGATGTGACTTAGATGTTGTAGATGCATTCATTCAAAATAAAAACAATTTTCATCGAATTCGTTGGCTCAGATACGGTCAGGGGATAAACCTTGAGACCGCTTAACGTAGCCGTCTAAATTCAAGTTGCACTTCAAGACATGCAACTTTGTAATTTGAATGAAGAAGCTATTTTCATCATCAAAATTATATGCGCTTTCAAATAATCAAATCGAATATTCGAGATCAAACAACATACATAAGTCGTCTACGTTATAGTCGAATCTCGAATGGATATCGATTCGTAACACAATTTTTCCAAATTATTAATCTAGAGCAGCTAAAATTGAATATATGTCACTTATTACGATAATTGTCCTTTTTATTTTTTTTTGTATTCGGTTAAAACAATGAATTGTATTGATATTGTACTAAAGGGAACGCGAAAGAGAGCGGGAAAGGGAGAGGGAGCGGTCGCGCGACCGAGAACGCGAAAGAGAGAGGGAGAGGGAGAGGTCACGCGGTCGCAGCAGGAGCGAAGCGGACGCGCGGAGAGAGAAGGAGATGGAGGAGGAGGCGCGCGAGAAGAAGAGGCTGGAGAAGAAGGCGCGCGAGAAGGAGGCCGCCTACCAGGAGAGGTATAGTGTTCGTAAGGTTCCTTCCGGTGCGAATTCCGTGCGCCCGTTCGGTGCAGCGGTGGATCGCTACAGCGCGGTTTGAGTGGAGCAGGTTGCGCAACTGGGAGACGCGCGAGCGGCGCAAGGCGAAGGAGTACGAGAAGGAGCACGAGCGCGAGCGGGCGCGCGAGGAGGAGCGCGAGCGCGAGGCGAAGCGGCTCAAGGAGTTCCTGGAGGACTACGAGGACGAGCGCGACGACCACAAGTACTACAAGGGCAAGGAGCTGGCGCGGCGGCTGGCGGCGCGCGTGCGCGAGGCGGAGGCCGACGCGCGCGAGCGGGCGCGCGAGGCGCACGAGCTGGACGCGCTGCGCCGCGAGCTGGCGGCCGGCGCCTCGCGCGCGCGCCGCCGCCGCCGCCTGGGCGCGCGCGCAGCGCGACCACCACGCCATGTACGAGCCGCGCGCGCTGCTGCCCGCCGCGCCCGCGCCGCGGCGGCGCCGAGCGCGCGACCCGCCGCCGGAGCCCGCCGGCTCGGAGTCGAGCGCGGGCGCCGCCGCGGCGCTCGAGTCGCCGGGCGGCTCGCTCACGCCGCCCGCGCCCGCCGGCTCGGCCAGCCCGCCGCCGAGCGCGCCGGCCGAGCCCAGCGAGCCGGACGGCGCCGCCACGCCCCCCCGCCGCCGCCACCGGCGCCGCCACCGCCGCCCCGAGACGCCGCCCCCCGCCGACACGCCGCCCAGACATGTCAGTATAGTCATGTACTCGAAATTTGAATAGAAACACCGAAACTACTCGTTGGACATAATGTAATATTCTGTTTACTTATACTTTATTGGAATTACGAACTTACTGTCCTAGTCAACCAGGCGCGTGGAAATAAATTATTGTGATGGATGTAATAACAACATTCAATTATTCACTTACTTTTTCTTTATATGAGATGGTGACTCATCTGATGTTAAGTAATGACCGCCGCCCCGTTGCCACCTTATAATAAAGTGGGCCCCGATTATCTCACTCACCAGAAGAAACGCAGAAGTTTAACACTTTCACTTCACGTTGTAGTACTTACCCGAACAGACCTGCACATTCGTGAAACAGCCAATTTATGTCAATAATGTATCGACCAGTCATGAATAAGGCTCAAATTGGAATTTAGTCTAACTATCGTGTTATGGTGGTCACCACAGCCTGTACGTACATTTGTAAGTCATCCACATATAGATGACCCACACAACCAATATGTACATTTTCTGATTGAGTTTATAAAATCTGATAACATAATGGGAGAAAGTATAGCGCCTTGCGGTACCCTAGACTCAATATCAGGCCTACATAAAGACTCTTTGTGTAGAAGTTTGTACAAGGAGAGAGTTTATAAAAAGTTTGTTAAAAGATCTTTTAACACATATATATTGGTATTGTAAATGGTGTAAAGAATACCCGGTATAAATAAATGGTATATGGTATGGCGCGTACTGCCTTAAAGTACATATTACTCGTGTGCATTTTCTATTTGCATTTGTATGAACATGGAGTTGTATGAATTACTTAACATCTGGTGCAACTGACAGCGTGCTTGCTTTTTCACATAAAAAATAGTAGTAAAATAAATAGCTTGATGTGCTCTTAATAACTCTGTGTGTGTTGTATCCGCAGAGTGCGGCCGGCAGCACCCCACCTCGGCCACCTTCCCCTGACCGCAACGTGCGGCAACACCACGTATGTATTAGTAGTAGCTAGCAGAATGGACAAGCTATATTGCATTTCTTGCAAATTCTTCTCAACAAGGGAAATAATAGAATCATAATATTTATTTGTTATTTACTAAAAGCATTGTTTGCTCCATTTGTCTACAGTTTAAATTAAAATTAAAAAGGTAAATATAGTTATTATATGATATATGATTATTATTTGAAAGCATTTATTATTTAGTGACTTTTCTGGTTGTATTGTAATAACATGAAACTTATATAATTGCTACTGTGCATTATTTTAGTAATCAGTGTGATATTGCACCAGTTCAGACGCAGGATGTTCATTCCTGCCGTTCTTGTATGTTGCTGAAAAGGTTTGGACCTGTTGCAGGGCGGCGCCTTGTCGGGGGGCAGCTCGCCCATCAGCATCAGCTTCCGCACCAAAGCCAGCCCCACACCTTCAGCGGACACGCCCACGCGTGAGTCCCACTCTCCACTCCGATATACTTCCATTATGTATACAAACATTATGTAAATCTTACAAGCGGTTGCCGTTCAATATTCAATTTATATACGTTTTATTTATTTAAAAATAAAAATATGTGTATGTACTTATGTACGCATGTAACGAAAGAGAAATAACTAAAGATTTTATTTAGTGTGCTAGCAAGTCTTTGTTTGTGATTGTAAACCTTTACAATTGATAACGGTTTAATAAAATAAGTTGCAATTTTAGGTTAAAAAATTGTTGTAAATTTGCTTTTAGGAGTCGGAAGTATAACTGAAGAGCGTCGGAACAAAATCCGATAAATCACATTTTGACAGTTTGTCTTTGTCTTTTAAGTATGGCAATCAGCATATTATAGCCATCATATAAACAAGTAAACTTTGTTCATCTCTAAATTGGAAATCGGATGTGTCGAATCGATATGTGGTTTATCAGTTTTCGTTCCGACGCTCCTCAGCCTTAAAAATGTTGATTTGTAACGTATGTGGCTCCCTTTGACCCGCAGAGGAGGGGCGCATGCGGCGGGTGCACGCGGCGTTCGCGCGCGACGAGGACGAGCCCCCGGCCGGTGAGTGACCCTCCCCCTCGCCCTCACCCTCACCCTCACCCTCACCCTCACCCTCACCCTCACCCTCACCCTCCCCCTCCCCCTCCCCCCACCCTCCCCCTCACCCTCACCCTCACTTGCTCACTTAACACCGCTCCTCTTCCAGATAAGAGTCGCGGCCTCCCCGACAAGGACAAGGACAAAGACAAGGATAAAGATAAAGATAAAGAAAAGGACAGTAAGTCGGCTGAGGAGAAGAGGAAACATATAAAGAGTCTCATCGACAAGATCCCCACGCAGAAGGAGCAACTGTTCCAGTACAAGCTGGACACCGCTCAGGTGACACTTTTGATAATTATACTTTGGGCTCGCACACTTCTGCTGTGACATTAATGAATAGGCTCGTCCTGGGAAGAAAATTTCCACCATAAATTGACAGTATCAAGTACATTTCATCTGGTGAGTGAAGTAATTGGAACCCACTTTTTAACTGGTTGGCGATGCATCTGCACCTCAGATGTTGCCTTGGATGGCAACGATCATTTAACCTCAGGTAAACCATCTATTTGTTTGCCAACCTTTCACATAAATAAATAACTTTTTATGGGAGATAGTTAAAGAGCAGATGATAAAGTTGTGGACTTCTGCATTACCAGTAGTATTGCAGTTACATTGTGATATATTATGTTGATTTTATTGTTGCATTGGACCGGCAGATCGACAACACGCTGATGGAGAAGAAGATCCGACCGTGGATCAACAAGAAGATCATCGAGTACATCGGTGAGCCGGAGCCAACGCTGGTGGACTTCATCTGCAGCAAGGTGCTGGCCGGCTCGGCGCCGCACGGCATTCTGGACGACGTGCAGATGGTGCGCCTCCGCCTCTCTGGCCTCTGCGGCCTCTGCGGCCTCTTGCGCCTCTACGGCCTCTGCTTCCCTTGCAGGTGCTGGACGACGAGGCGGAGGTGTTCGTGGTGAAGATGTGGCGCCTCCTCATCTACGAGCTGGAGGCCAAGAGGGCCGGCCTGCACAAGTGATGGCCCCACTGCCCCTCACCCCACTCCCTCCTTCCCTCCCGATAGCAGATCGACTTTAGTTACGACGCTTTATATGCCTAAAGTCCAGCTGTTCTACTGCCTTACAAAAACGAAAATTATTGTCTTTTGTAAACTAGTTATAGTTTGTTTTGTCGAATGCCACCAACTTGTATCTGCTACCGCTTTCCCCTTCCCTTCCTGTTCCCCTTCCCTTCGACTGTTTCCCTTCACTGTATATATATATGAAGTAAACCCAATGCTCAGAAGAGAACTTTGTTCGGCTGAAACCGAAGTAACAACCTCCACCTTTAATTTGTAACGTGGAGCGGAGAGTGACGTTCTTTCGTAGACAGGCCTTACGACTATTGTAAGTGCACCCTCCGTGTACATTAGCCTCTAATGTTTTGTAATACTGTATAAAATATGAGTAAGTTTATTCGAGTTTATTTGGCTCTTGTATGAGAGTTTGGCGTCCGACTGCGCCTCCCGAGAGGAGATGGATACGCAGAGAGGAAGAGAGAGAGAGAGAGAGAGAGAGTGAGAACGACGAAAGAGAGAATGAGAGAATGCATGAGTTGTAAGCGAATGCAGTGACGCCGATCGCGATTGTAGCGTTGATAATTTGTAGTGGTTCATATAATTTTATGAGAAAAGTCTGCAGTTTCATTTCTAGCAAACAATCCCTGTCCTGTATAGTTAACTTTTCTATTAGTTTTTGAAAGCAGAATAGACGAGAGAATTTATTTTGAATCGACGCTTTGAAACGTCAAATATGCAAGTGCAAAGGCTAAAGCTGGCAAGCCTGTGCTAAGTATTTCTTTTTTCTTACAATTAGTAAAAGAAAATTATACGCTAAGGCTAATTGAATACTTCGAAATATTGAACTTCTTTATTAGGTTATGTACTAATATAAAGGTTCTGGGCAAAAGATTAAAAAATGAAGTAACAATTTATGAATTACCTATATTTTACTAAACATTCACACCTACCTTAAACATCCAATTAGTATATACCAATATATTGTATTAACCTATATATTTAATTATCATTTTAAGTAGCATTTTACTAAATAGTACGAGTGTTACATCCGGATGGTGTTGTACAAATAGATATAAGATAAAGTCAAATAATCAATTGTTTCCATTCTAATAACTATCATAATATACTAAACAAGTTACATTTTTAATTCAATGTAGTAACTGCCAAATGGCAAATATCTAACACTTTAAGAGAGACTGAGATTTAAAGCTATATTCCTCTCTATTTATCGAGGTAGTATATTAACGTTGTCAAAGTCAAAATTAAATACCTTACTAACTGAACAGGGATAATGTAAAAAAATCTTCATATATCATATCGCTCAGCTATCAGATGTCTTTAAGGTTCACATCGCCGGCAGTCCTCGACAACTTGTGATTCGATAAGTTCACAACTAGTTGCGAAATCGTCCAATGTTCAATCGAGAAAGTTGGTCCAATTTGTGGTTCGTGCTTGTGACGGTGCGATTTAACAGCTGGTGAATGTTACTGCAATTAAAACATCAAACATTCCGAAAATTTTGATTTGTTCTATAAATTGCATTTGAGCAACCATCATCTGAAGTCCACGTAGAATGCTCATATATACTCTTATAGAAATGAACAAAATATACTTTTCTGTTTTTAAATAAAAAAAAAAAAACTTTTAAAAGGATAGCGTGACCCATGCTATGGTAGCCAGCCAACTGCAAACCGTACTATCGTATATACTATTATACTGTATTTCGGTTCTGCGTTTTATATAAAAGTAAAAAATAAAGTAATAGCCGTGCCGGGTAAGGGCCACCAGACATCTTAGAAATATTTTTGTTTTGATTACGTAAATACGCAGGTTTCCTTACGATGTTTTCATTCATTCAATGTTTAGTGCTTGATAAGTCGTACTTAAAATTAAAACTCCTTGGTGCTGGCCCTGTGGATTTGCACTCAGTTTGCTTCAGTTAGCTCGAGCATATTGAATTAATAGCAAGTACCTGGACACTGAGTAATCACGGCTATGTAGGTATACATTGTTGAAAAAACATATAATACCTAATCAATATTACTAAATTTTAGTTGAAGGGATTGATGAAATTTTAACCTTTTTTTATAAACATTTTTAAAAGTAGTTTTTATAAAGTCTTTATAATAATTTCTTGTATTTACGCGATTACACATTACAAATGAAACTAATTTTACGGATTTATCGCGTTTATTTTTAATTTTAGTTCCCGACGTTTCGAACCCTTTACAGCGTTCATGGTCACGGGTCAGTCTGTCCTGTCAAGAGGCCACGGGATGTTTCATCGACATATCCGGCATATGTCGATGAAACATCCCGTGGCCCCTTCATCTTGTTTCTTAAATAGGTGACTTTTGGTCAATAAAATAACTTCCAGTATATAAATGGCGTATATTTACAAATGGTATGATAGTAAACCGGTGTATGGTTAGTAAACCGGACGTTAAGGCTATACGATGGCACAGTATGCTATTGTTGCAATGAAAATCAGTAAGCCATAATGGGTCAAATATCCGATGTTATGAGACCCACGTCTAGTGTTAACAATATATACAAATGTACTCTGAGTGTCAAAAGAAAACGCGCAGACCCACAGACTATTAACATAAGACGCCACAGAGGGTTGACGTCAGGCAGGCAGCCGATCGTAAAAAATATAGCCAAAACACACGTTGTGCCGACCCCACCTAGGTGGGATAAGGGCATGAGGATGATAATGATGAGAGCTAACCTCAATTGGCTTGTATTGGATTTTCTGACATAAAAGCACCAAAGAGTACTTTTATATATCTGAAAAGCACGATAATAGTTAGGAAACGACAAAAATGTCATCACCCCCTGACTTTTAGGATTGTTGTGTATTTTTAGTGCTAATCTGCACAATTCAGACGGGAGATTAAAACAAAAGGAAATTTAGACGGGAGATTAAATTTTCCGCCGTTATAGAGTTTGAAGCTAGGCTTTCTGGGTAACGCGCCAAGACGCTGATAAAAAAGTAGGTAGTTAATTTTTGAAAATTGACAGTCATAGTACCTAAGTACTAGTACTTACCTAATTCGATGTGACGATTTTTAAAAGCGTTATTATAACTACATAAAATACACAGATTTATTACTAGTTTTATTACTTTTAATTTGAGTGCTCATAAATTTGTCAACTGGTGGTGGTTGTGCCGGAAATTTTAGTTGCATTTTGGGACACGTACCTATATGCTATTCGTCTCCTCAATGTACTTATCACAAGAGCTCCAGTTTCCTTAATTATGAAAGTCGAGAAACTGAAATGTTGCACTTTGATTAAGCGACAAAGTTAACAATTTATTAAGTTGTAAAAGCGTTTATCGCTTCAATTTCACAGCACTCCATCAATTGAATGTTCGACATTGCGATATTAATGATATTAGAAACTGCAAACTGGAAGCGTTAATGTGGAAACTTCTTGCTCATGTCCATTAGAAGGACAAATTTTTTGTAAGTTTAATTTTTTCAATCCTGCTTTATATCATAAGGAATTTTTGTATAAGTATTTTTAAAATGTCATTGGCACTTCTATTTACCATTTCCGTATCCTTAACACTGCTTTCAGAATCTTTTTGGTTTTGATTCTATTTTATTTTTATTAGTTCTATGAGGGTCGGAATTTATAACAAGAAATATAAAAGCTTATATAATTATAGTTTTGGACGTTAACACGGTAACAACATTTTCGCTAACCTAGTATATGTTTATTATGTCGTCACTATAAATATTGTAGTCATCAGTGTAACGCCACAATCGTTGGGCTGTCTTGGATAAGAATAATTGCGTCCAGGACTCCTCGGCCGGCTTTATCGATGAAGAGTCGTCATGATTCGGCGTTGTTGTTCGCGCGGTACACGTAAGGCACGTAGAGGGAGTCGGAGACGCGGTACGCGTGCCTCGCCATTCCCCGCTTCAGCAGCCGGTAGAGGAGACGCACCCGTGGGTGCACCGCCACCTTGAACGTCCTCAGCTTCCGAAGCACCTCCTCAACCTGAGACATTCAAGCGGTCAGCGCACGACTTAGTGTTATAGTGATGGCTCGTGCTGGAAGCGTCGATTATCGATTAGCAACCACAAGTTCCCATCCCAGTGACGTAGAGTAATAGATATCTTAAGTTTAATTATTACTGTCTCACATTTGGGAGCGATGACGTGGCCAGAATTACGAGTAGCTAACGAGACGGACAACAAGATATTTGAAATAATAGTCGGGAATTGCTATGTTTAACTTATTAATAAATTAGTATTGAATTTTCGTAGCTTTATAGTAACTACACTAAAACTTGTTTCTTTAGCCGTAAAAAGATTGTGTACATTTAGTTAATCGTTGGATTGTCAAATTAGATTGATATTTTCTGGTTTGTTCTAAAAATTAATTTCTTTTGGCATCCAAAGTACAAACGGTAATTCATTCGTTACGTATGGTGGTTCAATTTTAAATTATAATAGTTCCACTCACGTGTTTGGCGACCTCGGTATCAGACTTGACTTTACTAAAATCTCTGTCCACTTTGAAGACGTGCGTGCTTTTCTGTGAATATGAAAATCGCATTAGTTTCAACACGATATATTAAATCTATTATGCAATGGAAATTGAAGAGGGCAGTCCTCTGTCTTTTAACTTTGTGTATGTAGTATGTATCTCCGATAGTTGTTCGTATTACTAACCTACCCCTGTATCGCATAGATAAAACTCTTGATTTATCTAAAGAGATCACCAAAATGATTTCACTCGAGGGATGGAGTTCTACTGGAGGTCTTAAATATCTTTCTCCTTCCATACGGTTTCCCGGTCGTTACTGCATTTGAGGTTGCTTGCACACCACGCGATTGTGCATCAAGTGAGTTTTTATTATTGTCATGTTTAAATATTTTTTTTTTAATAATCCATACTTCCATACTAATATTATAAATCGGAAAGTAACTCTGTCTGTCTGTCTCTTCCTTCTTCTTCTAGTGCTAAATGACCATTGGTGATGGGGATCCGTTACTGTTGGGCGAACCATTCGCTTCTCTGCGACCTCTTCCTTAGAAAGAGACCTCAATGTGTACTCTATAAACTAAAGCAGTCGTTCATTACTTACGCATATTTTCAAAATGGCGACTAGAATTAGCAAAGCGTAGACAAGCCACCTACACATTGTCCTGTCGCCTTCTAGTTAGCTCGGAGCGCACCAAATGCATGCGTCGGCCATTCGGCCAACACCATTTCACGCACGGTGCGTGTACTTTGATTGGAAGATCAATTCGTTACGACATTTTAACAAGCTAAGACGTTAATCGATTTACGTAATTATAGGTTTTCGTATATAAGGAACAATATAATACTTCTGTGTTCATAGAATGACATCAAATTTTTTGAACTGCAAATTGGGGTCATCTTATATTACTCGAGTAGACGTGGTCTGGTCCGTGCTTTATTTCAGATCGCTTTGTCTCTTCATACACGTGTAAAGGTGTACAGGTTTATAAGATCGCACTCATAAATTGTTGCACGTAATAGGTATATACCTACACTTATGGTAGGTACGCGAAATAGTAATCCGTAGAAAATGAGTTGTATAATGTCAAATTCGAGATGTCGGGGATACATTTCTCTTGGCGAAGTAAAGGGAAAATTTGTAAGTAAGAAAATAATGTCATCATTTAAAAAACTTTGAGGTTTTATTTCCCATTTTGTTACTTGATTTTATTGATAAAAATCTCTAAGGAATTTGACATCTTATCCTTTAAACGAGCAATTCTTGTATATATATAATCGAAATTGTTTGATTCCAGATCATTGCTTTCTTTATTTTTTATTTTTTTTTTGAGTCCAGATGATTTAGTTTTTAGCCGTTTAGCTCAGTGGCTAGAGCGTCAGGCGGCGAATGCCGAAGACGTGGGTTCGATTCCCACAGCGGCGACAATCTTTTCGCACTTTTTCTACATATTTTAATGTTCAATCTTAAGTGCAAAGATTAGCACTATAAACAATTTAAATTTTTAATAAATATAGAATTTATATCTGATGCACTACCCCACAACAAAATGCCGTACGACAAGATGCTGTGAAAATAACTAAAGCAAACAAGTCTGGCAGTGTCGATGTCTGTTAGCTGCCTAACCCTTCTAATCGCAAAAACCGCGGAGCTCAGCCTATTCGCAAGAGATGATATATGGGGACTCCACTGGAGCTTGGAATCTACTGTAATTCCCAGAAATACAGCAGACTCAACTGGATTAATGGGTACGTTATTTAATATTAAACTAAAACTTTTCCTTCTTATACTGGGAAGGGTAAAAAGAATACATCTGGTTTTTTTGGCATTTTATTAATAGTAGTAAACCAGTGGAGGATATGTGAAAGTGCACTATTCACGTCGTCATAATTTAATACGTTTCGGTCAATTTTAAAAATAAGCGATGTATCGTCAGCAAACAGTACAACATCACACAACCCACTGTCATAAAAGGGGAGATCATTAATATATACTAAAAATTATAATGGGCCCAAGATTGATCCTTGTGGGATATGGATCCTCCCATTTTCATCTGGAACCCAGCGGAATTAACATCATTTATAGATACTTTTTGAATTCTATTACTAAGGTAAGAGGCAATGAGATTGAAGGCGATGTCACGAATGCCATAATATTCTAGCTTTGATGGAGAGTTTTATGGTCTATACCGTCGAAGGCTTTTGAAAGGTCACAAAAGACACCTATTGCATCTTGTGACCTTTCCCAGGCGTTATAAATATGTTTGACAAGTGCGACGCCCACATCTGTTGTCGATCTGCCTTTAGTGAATCCATATTGCTTATCGTGAAAGATTTTGTTCACATTAAAATGAACTAAAATTTGATTTAATATTAGCTTTTCAAAAACTTTACTAAGAGATGGCAATATGGAAATAGGTCTATAGTTGCCTGGATCATTTTTATCCCCACTTTTGTAGACAGGTATTATCTTACTAAATTTCATAAGATCTGGAAATATTCCAGAATCTATGCAGTTGTTAAAAATAGAAGCCAAATGTGGTGCAATATATGGCATTATTGTGCTCATTAATTTTATGGACATACCCCATAAATCCTCTGTATTTTTAAGATTAATAGAATTCAAAATTTTTATAATATCATAAGTATCTACATGATTAAATTTAAATGTGTGTAGGCAAGAGGTAACATTATTTCTTAAAACATTAATTGAGTCTGTGGGAGATGATTTTAATGTACGTGTGACATTAACCGCAAATAAAAAAAATCCTAATGAAGTGGCATATATTTAGGATTGCGGCTTTATGCATGTTAATATAAAGTACCTGGAGGACCGAGCTTTGCTATGTTTTTTTTGGTTAAACTTTGTGTTTTGGATATTAAAAAAATAAAAAATAAAGAAAGGAATGACCTGGTATACAAAAAAAAAATAAGTGTGTAAATGATCGTGACACGAACCACGGCCTTCTGTTTCGGGGCCGCCCAATTACTGACCGAGCTATTATAACATTTTTTTTTCGGCGAAATGTACCATCATATTCGAATGATATTTTTCATTCCCTGCTACGATGGTGCAATGTAAGTACTTTGTTCATTTTCCAAATACTTTTCATTTATTAATTTTTGTAGACTATGGGTGTTAGGAACTGCTATATCTATTAAATAAGTCTGTTTGTTAATTTTATCTATAAATTTAATGTCTGGTCTATTATACTGTATCGTTTTGTCAGTTAATATAGCTCTACCAAAGTAGATTTTGTTAGTGGGACTTTCCAATACATGTTGCTTCCATCATAGCATTTGGGCTATTTGATAATGTCGATGAGTGTAGTCTGTCTGGACAAGCACCATAAAAATTTTTGTAAAGTTTCCGGTTGTTCATTACATTTTCTGCATTTATCACTCTGAATATTGGGATCCTTAACAATAAATTTTCTATAATTTAAGTGTGAATGACTTGATCTTTAATACCAAAGCAGAGAAACTTGAAAAAAGTACTAAAGTAGTCGTACTAAACTTTTCCTTGGCAGACCAGAGCCCCAGTCGCCTCAGATGTTCGAAGAGGCTGACTGAGATTAACCAATTGGCAGAAACGACTATCGGTAATTGCGGTCGGCACACCACCCCACATGTCGGTCACCTCGCGAGCCAGGTCCAGAGATTCGTCTAATCTCTTTCATCTTTCACAAGGTTTTCGGCATATGAATAGTAATGTCTACAAAAAATACCCGTGACTGTGTCCGGTCCATCAACACGATATCAGGTTTGTTCACGAGAATCGTCCTGTCCGTGATTATAGGTCCCAAAAGAGCCTGACGTGGTCATTTTAGAGCACCGTCTCCGGAAAGTACTTATAGTACGGCAGTTCCGGTGTAGGATTCAGAGTTAGAAACGCTCCCTAAGATGGCGACAGACTCGACAGATGTCGACGGTGCCATCCCTTATGGTGTATATCCGATAGTTGTTCGTCTTACTAATCTTATCCTGTATCGCACAAACAAAACCTTCGGTTTCCCCAAAGAGGTCACCGAAACGTAACCAGTTAAGGGAGGCAACAGTATCTACGAATGACTCGTGTAGAGCCTTGTAGCACCTCCCGTGGAGCTCTTTCTCCTTCCATAAGGGGTCTCGGTCGGAAACGCTCAGTGACAGGTCCTGCCATTGTCCGTAGGCTAAGGATATAGGTGTAATCCTTTATCACAGCTAATGACGTCCGTGTAGATTTACTCATCCGATCTCGTCTAAACGTATTTGCTGAGGCTGCACACCTGACAAATAGCTGTTCAAATCTCTTGTCAGATGTGCAAAAGACACATCACAAACTGACTGTTTCATGCCAGCCTAATCGATACAGATGTTTTGTGACATAACCAAGTATCAGTATTTTCAAGCCTCGGGGAGGGGCCTTAGAAAAGTAAAGTATATAAATATATACATACAGCCTAATAATTAACAGCCTATAGATGTGCCACTGCAGGGCAAAAGCCTCCTCTGTACAGAGGGTTAGGGCATAGTCCTCCACGCGGCCCCACTGCGGATTGGCGGACTTCACATATCTTCGAAATATTTTTTTTTATTATTATTTCGAAAATATGCAGGTTTCCTTACGATGTTTTCCTTCACCGCTGAATACGTGATAATTCGGCGCTGAAAATTAAAAACTTCATTGGTGCCGGCACCGGGGATCGAACTCAGGTTGCTCAAGTATATTGAATTAAGGGCGAGCGCTCGGACACTGAGGTGTCACGGCTATAGAAGGTGCATGAGCACATGCGCAGCCCTACCCACAGCGGAGGGCCCAAACCCGTGGGTTTTGGCTAGCCCACCGGTTCTGCGTCAGATGAAGCTTCAATAGTCTCAGGACTGAAAGCAAAATCATCAGTTAATACAAGATACAAGAAGGCTATAGAGGGGCCTCATGTTATGTCTTATTACTATTATTATTAATTTAAAGGTCTAATTTCATAATAAAAACTGAATTGATTGACAAACTGTATAAAAGTAAGTACTTGTTTCTAACAAAATGTTAAAGTAATTGTACTCGTGTTTCAATTAATTTTTTTCTTATGTGAAAAGTTGCCAAGCGACCAGACGGTTCACCTGATGTTAAGTGAATACCGCCGGCCATGAACATCTGCTACGAGGGGTGCAGATGTGTTGACAACCTTATGAAAATTGGGCTCCGGCTACCTCACTCACCAGACGAAACGCGAAAGTATTATACTTCCAGTTTACGCCGGTCTTCTGTGAGGTCGTGGTACTTACCCGGACGAGCCTGCCCATTCGTGCAATACCAACGTAGAAAAATAGTTCACCGTTTCGTATTATGTCGGTAAGATCGAAAAATATTATTAATTTTTCAACACTAAGTAATTTTTATCTAAATGTAATTTCCAAAACACACGAGTTACAAAAAAAATCGGTCATCCAGGTACTTTATATTTATATTTCATAATTATAAACTTTTAACTTTACTATAACTGATGTTACGCTTTCAATCCTTAGACTATTAAAGCTTCATCGAACGCAAAACCAGTGGGCTAGCCAAAACCCACGGCTTAATTATAAGCTGTTATTCTACCAGTATGTTACTCTAATATAAGGTATAAGTGCAACAATTATACATAATATAAAGTATTAAAATCCAATGAACTCACATCT